TTTCATGTTCTTTCATGATTTTTAGTAGAATTATATTTGACAATATTTGGATGTGAGTATTTTTTTGGTAATTTTTATTGATGTTGTTGTAACAGATAAAACACTAATCTTGTTTGACAATACTTGAAATACATTGATAATATTTTGTTGATAAGCTTGATATAAATGTTAGTGCAAAATCGAAAATCATAAACACAACCAAGTGACTCTAAACAGAAACAAGCGACAGTAAGATGTAACCAAGTGACACTAAACAGAAACAGGCGACAGTAAGATTTAACGTGCTTCACACCTTTGAAGGGGCTACGATAGAAAGCTCACACACTAGAGTAAATTGAAAATTTTTTACTAAAACAAAAACTCTAAAATATAAAAACTCCACCGACGACCCTACTAGCTATGTTTACTAGAACCTGAGTTTACTCTTTAACCGAAGTTAAACTCAACAATAAAAATTCTCTTGTATATATGATTATTTATAATATTCATTAAATTTTTATATTTTGGTCTAAAATTTTGAAATTTGATATATAAATGTATTAACATAGTATATCATTGTCATAATTGATCATGTTATTAATCATCATACTATAATTTACAAGATTAAATCACAGAAAATTTTAATTTTATGTGAATAAAATTATTATTATTATTATTATTTAACAATGAAAACAGAGTTTTAAATCATTAATATGATTTTATGTATTCTTTTTTATTAAAATTGTATCATAATTTTTTTCAAAGGTGTTATAATTTATATATGATGAATATTCAATCAATTCAACAAAAAATTAAAAATACACACTATTGAAAATATTGTTTAAAGTAAAAACATGATATGCAATATTTGTTTAATGCTCTTGGCATTAGATAGGGATTGATCTTTGGAGTCTTTTCCCTTTTTTGTTGTTGTTTGCTTGTTTTTCAACCTTTTGATCGTTTGAATCCCCGGTCTTGGCGTACTACCATAACCTATTTACCATTTAATGTAATTCAAAAAATATGAATTTATATTTGTGGATATATGTTTATATGTATCACCATAATTAAAATTGAATTTTAATATATACATTTTTTTAAATATAAAAAAAGATTTCATTTTTCTAATATTGTAATTTTTTTCATTCAACATTTGATTTATGAAATAAGTTAGATATTGAAAATAAATGATCTGTAAATAATGGAGTAAATGATAAAATATCTAAGATAAAGTATACATTCAATATATCAGTATGAATAAATAAAATATTGATTATACTTAGTTTGAGACAAGAATAATAAGTCCATAAAAGAATTTTGAATTAAAATTTCTTTAAATAATAGAAGTATTTTAATAATTTTTATTAAATAAAATAAAATTCTAACAAATATTTTCAGCTTTAATCTTGAAATCATATAAAATTAAGAGTATTGAAACTATTCTCTTTTGTTCACAACTGAATAAAGCTATAAATATAAATTTAGATAGCTTGAATTCAAGAATGTAGATAACTTTTTTTTTAAACATAAAACATTTTTCATAAAAAATTAATTTAATGAATTCAGCTTTTTAAACATCTTGATATCTGAATATATATTATTATTTTTCCTTCATTCAGAAATACAACGAAAATTAAACAAGACTTATAGTCAAAGATTAACATTTTAAAATCATGAATCTATTTAAATAATTAAAAAATTTCCAAAAAATTATTTTATTTTTAATACAGATATGGAATATAATTTTTTTTATATCAAAATTATACATATTTTGATGAAAATCACAATATGAAATTCAAATTCATTGAAATTTTGTCCGATACAAGAAGTCAATCAGCTTTTTGTACTCGAAACATTATGTTCATTGATCGTTATTTTCAACATCATACTAAAGTTTGGTGATTCCAACAAAATGATGAATAGAAATCATGGATTATTGTTCACCTTTCTAGCATCATATTCTTTCATGACACTTTGCATTCAAAACATCACAAAGTTGTGAGTTTTAGTTATCTATCATATGTATATTCCGATTGGATCTTATTGCTTGTGAGGATAACTTTTGTTAATAATTCATGTAAATACATTTTTCCAAGTTAAAAAAATTCCATAAATATTAATTGATTAATTCTTCTCTCACAATATTTTAATGATAGTTTTATTAAGATTCCTATTTTATTGCAAAATTTCACACTAATACAGTTCAATACTGATGTAAAATTTTTGATGTAGATTTTTTTATCATAGGTTTTATAATAATTGTTTAATTTATGTTTCTTTCTTAGAGTTAAATCACATTTTGTAAATCTTGTTGACAATTGACATATGCTTTAATATTTTATCGCAAAGTTCCATCTTGTAGATTTGAAGATCAGGATGTCAGTTTGTAAGTTTCTTTTATAAAAAACACTATGTATGTAGAGTTATTTGACTAATGTATGACATCCATATATAAATGATTTTTTTTAGATGAGTTATTTTGTATTGCGTTGTTGAGAAGCTAGATTAGTTGAGAATCTATTGCACATAAATAATGATAATGTAATTTGACTCCTTAGATAATGTTCTGTGTATTTTTGGTAATAAATATCTGTTGATCGAATCAACGATGCTAGGTTTCTATTGAGATTTTCAGTCACAGTGCAAAGATAGACATGTCAAGCTTGTGGATTGAGCAAAGTGGCTTGCAGAGAGAGATATGTGACGTTGAGTAAGAGAGATAGAAGAAAGAATTGCAGTAGACACACTTCAAAAACTTACAGGAAGAGTCAATCCATGGTACATAGCGATGCTGTGTGTAGCCAAGTGTATAATTGTCAATCTGGAAAGGTAGAAATTGTGTGCCCCTTGTCTGTAGCCAAAGCACAAGGTGATAGTTTATGGATGTTTTTCATGACGTTGTCAAACTATAAAGTTTCGAATGTTTGATTTGAATCTTTTAACAAAGACACATATTTTAATCAATTTTTTATTGAGGAGTGATCTACTATTGAAGAAAGAGATGTCACATTAGATATTATTGAGTTCTTTTAGCATACTTGTCATAAATCCCCTTTGGGATGTAGATAATTCTGTCCTTTGATGTATGCAAAAATTGATATAACTAGATCATAATTTTTACATATACTCTTACGTCATACAAGATATATGTAAACCCTCAGATTTGGGCTTCTACTTTTGGCTTGCTCCCAAATTGAACTAGAGTGGTACAGTCTAATTTGAAAGACTGAATGTTGAAGCAGTATTTATATTGTTTTCCTTCTTATTATATCCTGTATTGCCTTAAACTAAATAAGTTTGGTTGTAGTCTTACTATGAAAAAATTGCTTAATCTTGAAACTTGGCATTATTAAGCATTAGGAATTTCAGACTCGCATTACTTACTCTATCCATACACTAGATCCATCCAGCCACGTCTTCATGCTTATGTGTGAGTGTGATTTTACTGTACGTGTAACAAAAACTCACATATCTTGGTAATCATTTGGAGAATAGAGTGAAGGTACACTTGAAGTAATCTTGATAATGCGTGAGACTGAATACCTTATAAGGAGAAAGTGTTGGTTTATGCCGTGGATTGGAAATATATACTTAATTCAAAGTAATCAAGCTACTATCGCAAATGTGATGATTACTGATACTACAAGTAAATAATTATTATTTTCTTCCTGGATGACTAACAAGTCCGGATGCAACATTCGTTTTTTTCAATAAAAGGGAAAAAACTAATTTAAATTATTTGATTCTCTAGCATGTGAGTTACATAAAACAAAAAAGTAGATATTCATATGATTGCGAGAAATATAGCATAACGTGACAAGTTGTATCATTCTATATACTATATTTTACAGCATCATGTTTACGTTATTCTTCACTAGCCAACGAGAAACAAATTATTGCAGTCAAAATCACATCAAAGTACGTGAATATAGTAAACGTTCTAGTTTATAAAACTGTGAAAGTCTCAGTCACATTATACATCGAGATTAGAATGTCTCCTCTTTGTTTTATTACCTGATCGGGCATACGTCGCTTTTATATCCATTTGGCCCCCCAAAGTAGAAAGCATGGAGGAACAAAGGGCAAGGACACAAGTGTACGCCATACAAATGTTCGACAACGTCGAACTAATTTAGCCCACATGATTCGTGTGCTCGAGCGTGAGGTGGCATAACCTGCGTTAGCCAGTTATCGGACAAAGCTTCCCTACCACAACATCGGCGTTGGCGGCTCGCAACCACGACATCGCATCCTGCCCTCTTCCTGGCTCACCGGTCCGTCCAGTCTCTGACACAAAATCTCCAGTCTGCTCGGAGAAGCTTCGCAAGTCCTTCGCCAAAAAGGCGGAAGGGCCAATTCCACGCGCACAAGAGAAAGCGGAGTCAGCCCGACAAGCGGCACCGGCCCGGTTCGCACAGGTTCCATAGCCGTTAGCGGGGGAGCTGGGGGATCGCGAGCGTCGATCTCGGAAGCGACGAGGAAGATGATCGTGGCGGCGGCTGCCCGCGCGGCAATGATCGCCTGTCTTGATGGCCCGCCCACTGACGGGACGGCTCTGTCGTCGTCGTCGTCGTCGGACTGCCTGCGCTCCCCTGCCGTGCCTGCCAAGCACTCCAGAACATTCCATCTCTCTCCCGCCGGGACTCATCATCACCGTCCCGACGTGAGAAAGCATTCAGGCCTGATGAGTGCATGCCCTGCGGCAGCCATCGATCCCCAGCCTCCGCCTGACTCCCGACCCCCATCCACGACCGGGACCGGGACCGCCCGACGACGACATGTGTCAGCGGGGATCATGTGGCGAAGAATATCACCGTCGGTCAGACGACGACTCCTCCTCTTTCTCTTTCTTTTCCTCTTCCACTTTTTCGGTCGGACGCGAGCAGCATTCGTACGCGTACCACTCGCTCGCTCGCAGGAAATGGAAGGAAAGGAAAGAAAAGAAAAGGGTCGGAAAGAAGGAGCGGATCTGGAAAGTGTGGCGAGGGACGAAGGCGCGGTGGATCCGAGGCCAGGCGAGGCGCGGCTCGTCCAATCCAGCGCCCGCGGGCCCGCGCGTTCATTATTAAAGAATGTGGCCCGGCGCCCTCTCTCCGAGCGCAGCATTGCCACGCCCGACCGAGAGCGCAGAGCGAGGGAGGGAGGTCGGAGCGACGACGTACGAGGGCAGCAGGCGATGAGATTAGTTCGTTCGTTGTCAGCCGCGAGGGTTTTCTTCGAGATTGTGTAGGTTTTCTATCGAAGAGGAGGAGCTGGTGGTGTGGAGGAGGCGAGAGAGGGCGGAGTGCGGAGCGATTTGATGCAAGCGGCGTTCGTGGAGGCCAGGAGAGGTTGATTGGTGGTTGGTCGGTGGCGGGGAAGTGAGGAAGGAAGGAGCGCGGAGTTCGATGGTGTCGGAGGAGTTTGGTGGCGGTGGTTGGTTGTGTTCGGCGAATGTGGAAGTCTGTGAGGAGACGGGGGAGAAGCAGGATCAGAATAGACAGTGGCGCGTTTGAGAATTTGGTCCGGTGTGGTAGGAGGGATATTTGTGTAGTTTATTGGAGCGGGTGTGCGAAGGAGGGAAGATTTCGCTCGAGAAGTGGACGCTTAGGGAATTTGTTGCGCGCGAAGCGAGGGGGGCAGGAAGGTTAAGGTGGGGGAAACAGAAAAGGGAGGAGTTGAAAGGAATAGCGAGGTTTTTTGGCGGCCGGTTGGACAAATTGTGAACGCACGAGTGTTCGCTCCAGGTTTAGTGAACGTCGTGGTATATTGAAGACTTCTATTAATTATGAGGTGAGTTGTGAGTCTCGTTCGACCGAACTCTCTTCTGTCAAATAGTGTGCGTCAATGTGATCGCTAGCTCAGGCGACTCCCTTTGCCCTCTGTTAGGGTGAAGTAAATGAACGTATATTGAACTTTCGCTAGTGTGCTCATAAGTGAGGCCTCTAGCTTGGAGGATTGTAACCGTTGAGTGTGTCTAGACATGGCCTACTTTCAAGTGATCTAGCGGAAACCTTTTCCCGCATTTTCCACTCGAATTTGCATGCATGGGAGTCGGTTGCGCTGAAACGAACGGTCTGTTCCGGCTTGCCTACTTTGATGGAAGACAAATCTTTTCATCTCACACGGGATGGATACTTTCACCCAGCGTACGATATTAGAATATCCACCGCTGAAAACTGTTGCTCTTGTTACATTTCACCCTGAAGATAAACGACAAGATAATTCGTATCTTGCTATGATACATGTTTTACGCATTTTCCTGTTTCTTTGGTTCGTAGCGGACTGCTGTTTTGTCGGAACACCAAGTCACAGCTTTCTTACCCCAGTTTCACATCGTCCTCTTTTCTAGTAGATCAATGCCCCGCACAGGGGTTCCCTTCTAGTGTTAATTACCGTATTTTTTAAGGTAGCTATGTTCGTAATCTCATCCGGGACCTTGTGAGTTAGACTCCGCAGTATGTGATATTGCTTTCCTTGCACCATTCAGCACTCTTGCGGTATGTTAGAAACATATGAGTTTTTTCTTCGGTCAGGCAGCTCTAATCAGACCGCACTCATTTTTGTGGTGTTTTCAGCACAATGTTGGATTATTCAGTCACTACTTCCACGCACGATGCTGTCGTTAACGTCACCTCGCGAGCGTCGTCTGCATTTGGGGGAGGATGTATGGTGGAAGTTTCAGAGGCATCGAGTAGGATTGAGACTACGGGATGCAGGGACTTGGCTGACTGCTTAAGTATTAGCACACCAATGACGATGGTTGCCGGTCTCACTGAGGCCGCGGCTGCAATGATGATGCGGTCTCCCAAAGGTTGCTCACTGGCGTTCGAAGAGTCTCCGATTAGTGTTCTCCAAGGTACATACGTGACTCCAGAGTCATTCCTCGCGAGAAGACCTTGTGATGACAGATTTTTTATTATCTCGCTTCACTTTCATGTTTGGATTGCGTGTGTTATGCCGTTTTCAAGTGCGGTACATCAGTGGTTACAGTGTTGTGCGTATCCATTGGTATAATAAATAGACTTACTGGTGAGAAATTTGACTTGTACGATTTCAGGTTTTGGAGATGACTCACCCTCTCCTTCACCGCCAGTTCCATCTGGAAGCAGCAATAAGTTTGAAGGTGGTGACGCGGTAGCAAATCTGGACTTGCTCTTAAACGATGCTTCCTCACGTAACAGTGAAGCCGGTGTTTGCAAGCCAGCTCATTCCGACATATCTGATGGTGCGGAGTCCTTCAGGCTACCAGTGCTTCATCTGAGAAATTTACGAAGGCCTCCGTTGTCGAAAGAGTCTGGAGTGGATGATTGGAATTGTCGACGGTCGAAACAGGTATCACGAGTTCGCGATTTGGTATCTTTGAACTAATGTTATTTGGCATGCCTGGCAATCTTCAAGTGGCGGGTTAATGTTCTTTAGAAGTCCTCTTGCTTTGTCTTCACACAGACCCAGTTCTTCAAGGGATCTATAACTTTTGATTTGTCTTTTTTGAAGATTACAATACATTTAGTTGTGGACTTTTAAAGGTGTTGTGTGTGGCACTTCACATTGTTATGGATAGTTTTCTTATTCTTGAATTTGATTCGCTTGTTCCAGCAAAAGCGGAAGAGCAGCTGTGAGAGTATCAACCGGGAGGAGGTACTGGGTGAAGCAGAAGTGCAGAAAAGCCCGGAAATCATAATCTTGGAAGATGATGAGGAGCCCGAGTCTCCAACAACCCCGTGTTCTACCATCAAACCACTTGTGTTGGAGTGTCCTGATGCTCCTTGTACCAGGTATTGAATCCGTTCTTCAGTTGCTACTTCATCTTTTTACTTCCTGGCTAGGATTTACCTCAGTGATTACTCTCGGGGGATGCCCATGATTTCACCAATGTCTTGGAATAAAGCTAATATACAGGATGATCCATTCCTGCATGCTGAAGTTTGTGATGACTTTGTTTATACTTTCAAGTAATACTCATTCAATTAAGGATCTCAACTCGCGTTGGTGTTCTAAGATAATCGAGTTCTGCCATTTCGTAGTCTGGATTTAAGTGGAGATTCTGTGTCGTGCTGTAGTTCACGCTGGAGCAAGGAGCTAAACAGGCAAAGCAGCTTGAATGATACGAAGCTCTTGATGACCACTCAACTTAAAAGAAGTGCAAGCATATTCATGTTCGACAAGCATTTTGAGTTTCTCCGAGAAATTGGTCGAGGTTCTCTCAGCACGGTAAGCGCTGAAGACGGCTTTTCTGTATCCTGGTCTGTTACATTGAGGCCAACATTTTACTTCAATTCTGTACCCAGACCAGACCATAACCATCAGCAGCTACCCATGCCCACCCATGCTATTCAAGTAACGCCAATTGTGTTGTCTTTATCACCCAATTCAGGTTACACCAATTATCGGTTGGATCTGACAAACATTGCCCATAGCATTACTTGTGCCCACCCATGCCCACCCATGGAAAAATAATGTCACCCAAAACCCATGGGCGTGGGTGGGTTTGGGCATGGGTATGGGCACCCTTTGTTGGGCTCTGTTATAGCTGCAGCATATAGCCGTCGGTCTCTTAGGACTGACACTTTGCAAGGATAGCAATTTTCAAAGTGTTTAAACGTTTGCAGTTTTCTTAGCTGTTTTGGTCATGGTCTGTTGCAGGTTTATGAGGCTCGAGACAGACGCAGTGGCTCCCTGTGTGCCGTGAAGATGAGTAAGAGACAGTTCCGTGGTCGTGATGATCGGGAGCATTATTTACGTGAGATTCAGAGTGTGGCTTGTCTGTCGGAGCATGTCAACGTGGTGAAATATTACCGAAGTTGGCAACAAGATTCACATTTCTATATCCAAATGGAGCTTTGTGAAGGGGGAAACTTGCGGAGTTTAATTGACTCATACGAAGATCTGATGCCCGAGAGCAAGGTGAGAATTGGCAGGTGTTTGGTGACATGCGTTTTAGAGTTGTGTTTTGAAAAGCTCGTTCCGTTTTGATATCTAATTAACATCGTTACGATCATTTTCTTCCCTTTTATGCAGATATGGAATTTCATCAAGCAAGTTGCGTCTGGATTGGAACATATACATGCACAAGGAGTTTTACACCTGGATATCAAACCTGAGAATATATTTGTTGACAGCGAAGGTCAGTGACAATAATGATTAGCGAAATCTCAGTAGGAATTTCCCTTTGCACAACTACTTACCCTTCTTTTCGTTACTGAGAATTTCATCTTATCGCCCGCAGGTGTATTGAAAATAGGAGATTTCGGCTTAGCTGTTCCCCGCCGCCTCTGGGACTGGGAGGAAGGTGATGGCGGGTATGTAGCCCCTGAATTATTAAGAGATGAGGAACCAGGACCAGAAGCAGATATGTACAGTTTTGGCGTGATGGTATATGAGTGGGCAACTGGAACTAAACTTCCACGATCTGGTCCACTTCGTGATGGGATTATAGATTTGCCCAAATCAAGATCTCAAGACTTAGAAAATCTAGTAAGATCTCTGCTGAGCCCAAGTCCATCTAAAAGACCAACTGCGAGTGAAGTTATTAACTGGAGACGGGAAATCTCACAACCGGAAAACCTACAAAATTAGAGATTATATTGAAAACCTGTATAGATCTTGTGTTCACTGTTTATTTTGAGAAATATATGTGAAAAGTGCATTTGTCTGAAATTTCTCTGCTTCCTACAGGAGGGAAACATGTGAAATTTATCTTATTGTGTGAGCGGTGACTACGGATGGCGCTAATGAAGAGAAAAAATGAACTTTGTGAACTTTGTGAATTGTGTAAATTTACAGTCGTTCTTCCTCCAGTCAATTGAAAAATGCATGTACTCTGCATGTTGGCATTGAAAAAAATGTGACAGTATTGACAATTATATCAAGTCGGAATACACGATAGACTTTTACCTCACTCATAGTACGAATGGCACATACAACTTACTCTGGACATTACTAAACTTTTATACTATTCTGACGTCCATTGTCTCGGTGATTTCAGTACACCCAGCAGTTTAGACTCAGCTGTATCTGGGTCCACGCGGGCATCATACTTCCACGCGATAAGTGGAGGTGCTGCATCAGACAAATCCCCCATCGTGAGAAATAATGACTATGCCCGTGAAAATGAAAACACGTACATGAAGGAACAAACATGTGTATATCATTACCTGACACCATGATTGACTCGAATCTGCCACCATCCAGCCCAAACTTAACACCCCTATCGTACAGCAGATTGAATTCCAAATATCGTCCTCTCCTCAGCAACTGCCATTGCCGCTGTTCTTCACCATAAGACAGATGCCTCCGCTTCTGAGCGATGGGTAAATAGCTAGGCATAAATCCCTCCGCAACATCTTTCACAAAGCTGAACACCGCAGAGCGACTGGCCAGGAGACCGCTATCTTCGTACTGTTGAAAATTTTCCAGATCATCGAAGAAAATGCCCCCAATCCCGCGATGCTCTTTCCGGGCTGGAATGTAGAAATACGCATCACACGCCGCCTTGCTCTGCTGGTATAACGTCGGATCGTACCGATCACACACAGCTTTATAGTACTCATGAAAAAACTCTGCATCCTCCTCAAAGAGATCTGGGGCAAAATTCGAGCTAGTCAGTACGCGTGTCCAAAGAGTGGAAACAGTTGCCAAGAAAGCTTCTCAATCTGCGCATGCCATGAAAGACTGAATTCAATGTTACTCACACGAGGGCGTCAAGTCGGCACCTCCACCAAACCAACCTCCCCCACCCTCAACCTGACAAGCCCATAACAAGCCACCGTAAGGACGTATAAACATGAGAATTAGAACCCCGTCCAACAGGGCACCGGGGGCTGAGGCACAAGTCTGTTAACTTACATAAGAGAAATTTCTTTTCATACCTCGAAATATCGGATATCGGAGCGAAATGTAGGAACGAACGGATGCCGAGAATGAAACACCAAAGACAAGGCACCAGCAAAATACTGAGCTCCACTCTCAACACCTCGGCCCCTGCCACTCATTGCCTGCAGTGCAACGAGAAACATCATCATCGAGACAGATTAATAGACTGGTCCTACTGATGCTTTTGCTGCGACGCTTCTGTGAATATTCTTAAGGAAGCGAAATTCTGGGAGCATGCATACCTGCCTTGGCCCTCGCTTCTGAAAGTTGTCCTCTCACTATCGAGACATTTGCTGCAGCCTTTTCCAACAAATCACCACCTTCCAGCACTCTTGTGATCCCATACCTGTCGACCAACATTCCACGTTTATTTTATGGATTCAATTTCCATACTAGACACTGCTGGATCTCGAGAGGAAAATGTCGGATTCATGAGCCAGATGGCTGGATGTGGTAAATCCTTTAAATCCATTCTATTGTACCAATCACAGTTCAAAGAGAATGTAGAGTGACAGAAAACATGACCAAGCTTTACCTTCTATGAGCCTACAAACGAAGTCCGACACAAGTGCACACATGGATGCTCGAATTTTATGTAACAGACAACTGGCATGTTCTCGACCGATATGTGCGTTAAGTGCAGATGATACAAACGAAGGTAAGGGAATTTGACTACCATAGCCTCTTGTTCATAGATTAGAGTGATGAACAACTCACCCACTTTTTGGATCTTCTGATCTTTGCCACCGGTCTTCGCAGAAAGTTTTTCCACTGCCGTCTGCTTCCGCTGCCTTTATCGAAGAGGGAAAGGCATTAAAATTACACATATCAATCTTTGCCAATCGAAACACAATGCACACGTGGATCATACAACCAAAATTCCAGCGATCGACTGCTCACCGTCACGCAAATCGATTCTTGCATGCTGAGCAGAAACTCCTCGAATCCTTCTCTGCTAAATGCCGGCTGCAGCTGCTGCGCTTCGACTTCAGAGTGACTTCGGCAGCACTTTCCTGGCCTGCTCTTCGAGCCCTCACTTCCTGGAATCCAACTGCGGAAACCAAGACCCCTAATGGCCCCAAGCTTCGCTCCACAGCTTGCCTTGCTCTGCAATGCGGGTCTCGAATCGAAGTCATAGCGCTCGGGCGACGGAGCCACTCCGAAATGGACGGTGCCAACGCAGAATCTCAACATCGCGCTGCGGCCGACTCCGCACTGGGCAGCAAAGCAGCAGCAGCAGATTTCCACGGCACTTTCCGGAGCGACAATCGGAGCCGAATTGCGCTATTCCATCGATGGCAAGGCGATGGCGACAGGAGGCCTGCAATCCGATCTCGGGCTGCATCGACGGCCTCCTCTTGGGGAGTTCGGATGAGCTTCTGTTGATTAGGCCGCGGGAGGGCGTCGCTCGATTTGGCGCGGGGTGTCCCTGAGATTCGGTTTTGAAATTCTCCAATCTGTCACATTTGAGAAGATGCTAATAATCATTAACTTCTGATTTCATATCTCATATGCATATGTTCTATGATTTCCCATCAGCATTACATGTCAAAGAAACCTGTTTGGAACAAGTGAAATGGTTTCACAATAACATTTCATTAGCTGATTGAAAATGTGTTCATATCATCGTACAACCATGAATTCTCATGCAAATTTTATTATGCATTTGAAAAGTATTTAAGTTATGAAAGGAAAGCTTATAGCTCGTGGAGATATTGTGAACATCATAATATTCATCCATCCATGAATGTTATTTCGTTGTGATAAGAAGATAATCGTGATCTGTTGACGGAAATCTTCAGCAAGTACTGATACTATTTTGTCAGCCGTCAAATTCTTATACAAAAGCGTGAAATGTAGAAGGACTGAGGAGCAAACACACGGAGAGAAGAAGAAACGTAACACTATAACTAGAGAACAAATTTTTGAGGAGCTTACTTTGTTGTTAGTTCTCGTGCCAAATAGTATTCTTTCTTATGATAAAAATAAGAAAGAAGACTATTGGCATATATAGAGAAAACACTTCCTGGTACCCAAAACTATCAATTTTACACGATGGGAACCTCCCGTCACTCATGTTCCAAAGGAAGATCTGGTAGCTATATAATTGGAGACTATTGTGTGGGGGTAGCTATAGTTTGTAGCTATAGTATGGGCGAGAGGGGATGCCCTATCGGGCCAAAGTACTCTCACGGGAGGACTTCGGCCATAATCTTATCATGATAGAAAAATGTGCCCAAGCTTAACATTATTTTTTATAGATTTCGTTTTGAGTTTCGGAGAGTAGGTTATGGAATTCTATAATACTCCACAAATGGGTGTTTTGCCACCAGAAAATTTATATGGTCCGGTGACAAAATCATGGACTCGTTGTTGTGTATAAATACTCAAACTCCGATTTCTTGTGGTTGCCGTGACAACGAAAAATAACAGACAAAATCAGCTCCCCGCAAGTCTCATCATGAACAGCCAGACATGATAGAATGTGATGGGCATCCCAATGGCGCCCGTCAGTCATATCTTAGAAATCAGATACATGAGATGCACTCTGGAAAAAGACTCATAACATCCTCGAGCACTCTGTCTGAGCAGATTTATGTGCTTCAAGAAATCATGAAGGCCTTTGACTTGGTCCAAATGTTTGTCCAAATTTAAGTAACGTATGACGTCCAAGATCATTAAGTCTCTATTGGAACATGGATGAAGGTGTGCAGTGTGATTTCATCCGATAAAATGATACGTGTTGGATCTCAATATGTGTTTTGTATTACGCAACGCATCAATCAAGTAAAGTACTAGAATACTTATGATAGATATTTTAAATAAATTTTATAAGTGACTTTTGAATTAAAATCTAATGTACAAGAATCTAATGGATTATTTTTTTTATTTTTTTTTTATAAGTATTATAAGATAGAATTCTTCATTTTCTGTTTGATATCAATAAATTTCAAACTAAAATACAAATTATCATCCATATTGCTTTGGATACATGTGAAAATTGGAAATTTGATGTATTTGATTGCACATTATGCTTCAAATATACTTATTTGCAACAATTATGTTTTCTCTACTTCATCATGTTTAGCATGTTACTTACTTTCAGATAAGTTTGATTGATAAATTAGCTTAGGTTAGAATGTTAAAAGTAATAAAAATTTTTATAATTTAATAAATATAAGAGCTAATGAATATTAAATCAAAATTTCAATTATTTACATTCATATGTTTAGACTAGAACATCTATTGCAATAGAAATAATCCAATAGAAGATTTATTGTAACATCAATTATCATTTTGAATATATTTTCTTTTGTATATTAAAAAATAATATTCTTGAAAGGATTCAAATAACAATTTTGTGTACGCATGAAAAATACATATATTCCGCTATGAATTCATTTTGTACAATAATTAGAAGCTGAGTTATTAAAATCTCAAGAATGCATTGAGATATTGCATCATGATCATTTTCATATATAATCATAAAAAATTCATCTGAAAATGATGAACTTAGTTCACATGAAATATTATCACACAGGCTAGCAACAACCAAAGTAACTAATGATGGAGACAATCCAGTTAATTCCATTGAAAGATATTTCAATAACCAAAATCTAGAAGATAAAGCTTATCTAATTATATTTAAATTTTATCTAATTATTATGCAACAAAAAATAAAAAATACATGTCTCCATGATCTCCATATATATATATATATATATGTGTGTGAAAATCATAATTTTCAGTATGAAATAATTACACATAGTAATAACAGCGAAGAGTATCATCTCTTAAATTTTATTACACAAAGGCTTTAGATCATTATTATGAAGAAACTTAAGTGATGGTATTCATACATTGTGAACTATGTATGAATCCCATCACTGATCGTTTTAGTCTATTCGACTCCACCGACGGCACACAGTCATTAATTCTAAATAAAGTTTATGTACCTATGTTTGCGATCTACAATGAGGAAGTACGAGTTAGAAATTCCAACTTGGTTGCAAGTTTTGTTGCAGTTTTATTGCGCATTTTTGAAATTTCTTGTATTTGTGACTTTGTGGATGTGCAGAAGCGTTTATTGAGTACATGCAAACTTTTCACGTTATGTTTTTGCAACATAGTATCAGTGAGAAGGGTTGGATCAAGTTTTTATTTGTCCATGATGCTGAAAACACTGATTTATGATAAGTCAAACTGTTTTAATCAATAAGAATGATTGTACATATAGTGTATTGTAGTCTACGACTCCTATAACCATAGTGTAATGGATAACTGATAAGTTGCGTCCACTCCTTTGGACGATGATACAATTGTCAAGTCTTCCATAATATTAGCACTCTAAGAGTATCTTTAAGATCTAACTTATTGAAACACCTCTAGAATGCATAAGGTAGGATCTAAAAACTACTTTTCTATGTCTAATTCTTCATTATCCACCAGTCAAAAGATATTCTTCAAATGACGCTGCCAAACATCGTAGACCGAGATAATGCATGTGCTGATTGAACTTTAGCCTAGTAAAAGCCTTGTTCAGCATATCTGATAACTGTAATTTTTTGGAAAGAAAATTGAACATCAATCTCCTTCAAAGCTACTTGCTCTTTGATGAAATGATGTTGAATACCAGTATGCTTACTTCTTGCATGAAAGATTAGATTTTTGGCAAGTTTTATAGCACTTTTGTTGTCACAGTGAACTATTGTGGAGTCCGTCAATGAATTGGAAATGGGAAGAGCAGAAGTGGCCTTTATGTCCTTGTAGGAGAGAGGCGTTGTCATTGTAATTGTAATTGGGTTGATTTCATGCAACAGTTGTCGTAACCAAATAGCTTATTGTGCACCAAAGTACAAGTCTTTATATTCACTCTCTGTAAAGGAGAGTGAGATGAGATTGTGCTTCTTAGAACATCATGATACTATACCTCCAGCGAGTGTAAAAATGTAAGCAATGATAAATTTCAATGTGTCTTGGCAAGAGCATCACATAGTATTTGTGTTGTATTGTAGTGTATTGTATATACTCGTTTGAACAATATTTTGTGATCTAAAGTATTCTTGAGGTATTGCACAATTTAGAAGTCAATATTCAGATGAGAATCTTGAGGTGTTGTGATAACTGTGAGAGTTGTTCCATAACAAAACAAATATCAAATGTAGAGATAGTAGCAAACATCAATTGACCAACTAGTTTTTCATAAAATGTAGGATCTAGCAAAAGAGTGCTGATATTTTCAGTCAAGTATTTCTTAGCATTGACTGGTAATGTAGATGAACTTCAGTCAAGCATATTAAACTCTTTAAAACTTTGATATAGGGTTTTTGTAAGAGATATAATCCTTGTGGTGATCGAGAGAACTCAACTCCTAAATACTTCAGATTTTCATCTAAATCACTCATTTCATACTTACAAATTAGATTTGACTTAATCTCAAAGATATTCAATTGATTGTTTTCTATTATGTACATGTCGTCTACATAGAGCATCATGTTTACTATGAGACAATACTCCCTTAAAAACTAAAGATCAAGATCTGAGTGACGACGTGTCCAACATGCTCGTCTTAAATATAAGCCAATACATTTGTATCAAGCCTTTGGGATTTGTCTTAAACCGTAAAGTGATTTATGTAATTTACATACAAAATCTTCAAAATCTTTCCTAATAAAGCCAGATGGTTGATTTACATAGACGTTATTTGAAATAACATCATTTAAACCAGCAATTTTGACATCTAGATGATAAATTGATTATCCGCATGGACTGGCAATGACGGAAACATATCTTACCGTAGATCACTTCACAATAAGAGTAAAGTTATCGGTGTAGTTCTTAACTTACTTTTGTTAGAAGCTTCTCGCTACAAGACAAGACTTAAGACGGGATGAAGGACCATTCTGGACTTCTATAACCCAAACATCCACTTGCATGTTATTGACTTTGCTTCTCGTGATAATTTAACCAAGGTTCAGGTATTGTTTGTATGGATGGAGTTCAACTCATCAACCATCCAAGTGTGTCATTTAATAATCTTTATAGCTTTGTCGAAGATGTGATGTTTTCCCATGTAATTGATAAGCTCAACTTCATAACAGTTGAGTGTATCTCGTTTGTCAAATCTCGTTCTAAGTAGGACAAAAGCTGCACATTCAAAGACTCTACAGTGTTTGACATTCGATTTGAGACTTGTCAACACTCAAAGGACGTTGACATCTGCACTGCACATTCAATCTCAATCACTTGAGAGTGTTTGGATGCTCTGCCTATGTTCATCAAAGTGAAGGCAAATTGGAGCCAAGAGCCATAAATTGCGTGTTCCTTGGCTATTCACAAGGTACTAAGGGGTATCAGCTGTGGATAAGGGAAGGTAATGATTTCAAAATTATCAATAGTAGAGAGGTGATATTTAATGAGACTATATTCCCTTGTCAATCATGAATTGATCTAAATTCTAGTGCTGTGAGTGTCCATAATCCTGCAGAACCCTTATAGAATATTATTCAAGTGGAGCCAGCTGTTCATGTTACTCCTCCACAAGCTCAAGGCCAAAGCACCTCGAGTGACCATGAAGATCAGGACGTGCAAGCTCCAGATGAGGTCACTGAACCAAGCATCATACTGATCAGGAGCAAGGCAACTGCGAACAAGAGATGACAAGCCACAGCCACTCACAGCAATCTCTACAACAACGTGACTACTTTCTTTCTAGGGACAGAAAAAATAGAGTGTCAAGACCTCCACAAAGATATGGCTTCTCCGCATACTATGAAATCTTTGCCTACGCGTTCACATTAGCCTTGGAGATTCAGATGAAGGAGCCTCTATACTATCAAGATGCTGTTGTTTGATCAGATTCAGAACAATGGAAAGAAGCAATGAGAGAGGAAATGAAGTCGCTGTATAGGAACAAAACTTGGAACATAGTTCCAAGTCCCAAGAATCAAAAGCTAGTGACGTGTCGCTGGCTTTACAAGATCAAAGAAGTTGTGGTCAATTCTGACAAGCCTCGGTTCAATGCTAGGGTAGTGGCATAAGGCTTCACACAAGTTAAAGGAGTAGACTATATTGAAACTTTCTCACCTGTGGTAAAAGACAAGACCATAAGGATTATGCTTGCACTTGTGGTTCAATATAATTTCGAATTACAGCAAATGTACGTGAAAAACAGCATTTCTCCATGGCGACTTGGAAGAAGTGATTTACATGGAGCAGCCACCGGGATATGAAGTGCAGAAAGGCAAAGACATGGTGTGTCTACTGAAAAAATCGCTGTATGGCAGTCACCACGTCAATGGTACAAGCGTTTTGATACATTTATGCTTGAGCAAGCATACAACATGAGTTACTATGGCTCATGCTTGTATTTCAAAGGTAATGAAGTACTGAAAAGCATCTATCTACTCCTGTATGTAGATGATATGTTATTGATCAATAGCTCAATTCAAAGATATCAGAACTCAAGAAGATTTTGAGCAAAGAGTTTGATATGAAATACTCAGGTGATTCTAAGAGAGTCCTTGGATTTAGCATCATCAGAGACAGGAAAAATGATTCATTGGCATTGTCACAACGTGGCTATTTGGAGAAGCTAGTTGACAAATTTGCCATGAAAAATGCAAAGTTAGTGACTCAACCTTTGGCAAATCATTTCAGCCTTTCTGCAAGTCAACTAGTTGTCAGCATCATCAAAGCAATCCATGGAAGATGTTCCATATTCAAGTGCTGTTGGGTTAATCATGTACACAATGATGTCTTTAAGAACTGATATTGTCCATGCCATTAGTGTTCTTAGTAGATACATGTCAAATCCTGGCAAGGAATACTGGCTGGCAATGAAACATCTACTAAGGTACTTGAGGGTTTGATGTATTGGAGGTAATTCACTTCTGGTGGAGGGTTATGTAGACTCTAACTACATAGGGGATAAAGATAGCAGAAAATATACTACAGCTTATCAATTCTTCATCAAAGGCAATTGTGTGAGCTAGAAGTCCCAGTTACAACCTGTTGTGACTTTATCCACAGCAGAGTCAGAGTATATTGCTGCCACTGAGGCAGTGAAAGAAGGCATATGGATTCAAGGTCTGCTGAAGGAGTTACATCTGTTCCAAGGTACAGCAACACTTTCTCTAATAGTCAAAGTGCAATCCATTTGTGCAAAATTCCATTGTATTACGACAATGAAAGCACGATGACATCAAGTACCACTTCATCAGAGACAAGATCACTGATGACAATATCAACATTGCAAAAATCAGCATTGATGACAACCCGACAAATTGCGGCACTAAAGTGGTAACTTTGGGAAAGTTTTGATTATGTTTGAACCTTATGGGAGTTGATGCTACGTGACTGAGAAAAAAAAACCAAACGAAGAATCAATGAAGTAAGAGTACCAAGTTCAAGTATACGTGACCAAGATCGAAACTGAAAACTGAGGTGGAGATTGTGAGATATTAGCTTCAGTTGCATATCATTTTCTCTTTTAGAGTATTTGTGGTTTAGTAATAGCTCGCTGATGGGTCAATATCCTATGGGCGATGTAAGAATTGATAGCTTTGATTCATTCTGATTTTTACCGTTATAAGGTACCGTCATAAGTGAGGATAATATAAAATCAATCAAGGCAGTGCATTTAGAGTGATAAGGATTTCAAGAATGGTCTAGAGGGAGAATGGGGAGACACATAGAGAGTGGGAATCATCTGTGAGGAAGTGGTAGTCTTGCTCTGGAACAGGAGTGATTTTTACTATGTGTAGTTCTCACTTGACTGAAACCTTGTAATGACGGTAGGAATGTCAAGTCACACGAAACTGATCTTCGATATATATTTACTCGAACTGCCTTCATTGAGGAGTTCGCGAGGACTAGGCTTTCAAGCCTAGTCCTCGCGAAACCTCGTCCACAAATGCTTGTGTTTGTATGGTGTGTGGACTGTGATTTTCTGTAGGTTATGGGGATTCAGATCCCTACAGTTGTCTTCCAATTATTCCAGAGCTTCTGATCAAACGGAGTATTGCTTGCCTGTACGGCAACTCACCATCAAGCTAGGAAGATTACATGCAGTCGTAGGCCTCTGCTGAAAAGTGACCATAGACCGATTCAAGCAGTAACTTTTGAAGTACAGGTTGCTTAGACCACTAAGAAGTGCTTTAGAATATACTTGGAAATTATAGACATGTTGGAAACCTCATCAAGAAGGGAGAGTCAGACCACAACTTATACGCAAAATCTTGTATTAACTTTGAACTCCAACCGGAACCAACAAACTTTCGTCATATGACACAGAACTTTCTAAAGGCGTCTTCGTGAAGTCGTAGGATCTCCTCAGATGAACAACTCCATCCCGTCTCAACGATTTCGGATGAACACCAGCTTTGTGTGCTGCCATCACTCCCAGAGCTTCCCAGTAATTTGCCACCCTCACCTGCCAGAAAAAGAATCAGAGCGGATAGGATATTAGAGTGCAACTCGAAAAAGTAACACGCATGAACAACCACGCTACGGCACTTTGACCCAAGTTTGAATCGATATATTGTTCAGCGACAGCAATCGGAATCGAGGAAACATCCTGCTGATGACCAAGCATGACCAGACAATGACAGAGACAATCTCATTGTCTGCTCATGCAGATTGGAATTCAATATTGCAAGAGACGGAAGGAAAAAAAGACGGAAGACAGAAAACAGAAGAAATACAGCCTTCGCGGGAGTTATCGAGGGGCAGCCAGGCAGGCTAAGGAGCCACGTACCGCTTCTATTCCAAGAGATTCAGGGGTATCATTCAAGACGGTTTCATTCTCCTCAACTGCAATAATCAATGGCTGCATCACATTCTTAAAAGTTAGTAGGTAACCATGCCCACAGGACAAACTCGATGGATACATATGTTGGAAACACGAACGAAGCAACATGAATCCGTTTCCTGAGCTTTAGTGAAGATAGGACAAGAAGGCATGAAAGACTTGCAAAAGTTCAACACTAAAGATAGCATTTGAACATAAGTAGGTCAGCACCTTTCGTCCTACTTTTCGTGCAAATGCAAGAGTGCCATCACCACCGCAGGCGTTCACAGGAACGACGACACTGTCAACATCTGCTGTCCATAACGTGCCATTCCTTGATTGTGTAAGGTGTTCCACTTTCGTTACATACTGAGGTGCACGACTCAAACCGGCCAGTACACAGGGCAAGAAAGTGAAACCAATCTGCAAGCATGAAACACAAAAAGCGCCTTCTCTTTAGGCCGTATAAAGCAAACAGCAACCGCCACCTGCTCCTTCTACGGTAGTTGATACTTGGAAATCTGATAGCATTTCCTCTCAAAACCGATACTTGCTATTTGTAAACGTAAAGCTGCACACCTCTTCAGCAGCAGATCGGGGAGATATCGTGTGATCGAAGGGCAAAGGAGCCAACGCAGGTGCATGAGCACACGGAATTCTAAATTCTTTGACGACCATATGACTTATGATCGCTTCGACTCCGGCTAACACATCAACTCCCTGAAATCAAAAAAAAATTTGGACCTCGAGATGTAAGTAAATCAGCTCATGCAGTATGCAGAACAACAACTGTTTGAAAACTTTCAGTATACTTTTGTGAAGAAAAGGTTATGACTGCAAAAATTTCCACAACGAGAATACTCAATCTAACTAGTAATTACGACACTATCCAAATGCCAATCACAACCACGACGAGGAAGACGCTAAAACGAACGCAAACATGAATGCTGACCTGTCCTTGGCGATAGTCCACCAATTCTTCGCAGCTATCGTCCGGGAAACGGGCGACCACTGCCACGGCATCGACCCCACAATTTTCCACCAGATGTCGAACGGCTCTCATCAAAGAATCTGGCCGACCGAGCCGACCTGTAGAAGCGCCCGACTCTTCGTCCAACCATTTCTCAACCTTATGAACAATCAGACACCACGCACTGTAGTTTAACTCAACTATGCTCAAATATAATCAAGACTGCAAGTATGTAATGTCTACTCAGCAGGTGCCATCTCTTAACCAAACTGAACGGTTTATCACAGCAGAGGTACCTGAAGAGGCGTATCTGTGATGGTGTACTCTAGAATGGGTAGACCCAAAGTTGCGCATGTGGCGTCAGCAACTTGCAGGTGTCGCAACCTCAATTCCTCTTCAATCCCAACGTCGAGAACCAGACCTATCTGGAAAATCCGGACAAAACTTCGTCAACAGAACTCATGGCGTTAAAAAATGAGAAGTTCGGCCTCGATACATATTGCTGTTATTGGTAAAGCTTCATGGCTGACCAATCTAATAACAGTAAGGAACAAATGACCGAGCCGTAAGGAGAAGTTGCAGAACACACATAAGAGCACTCGGGTTTCTTCCATGTTTGCATCTTCTGAGTTCACAGTAATAAAAATATATCTTGGCATTTATCAGTACAGCACAATCAACGACAAGGGAACATTCATGTGTGTAGCATACTCGATTTTGGTGCACAGGTTGGAGACCCCAAGCTCCTTCTGCAAATTGGTCAAGAGCATAGCCTTCCACATATAGTGCGTTGGGTATAGGCCAGTAGAGCATAGCGCCATTAAGCACCTGCACTAAACGTTTCCATCAGGCAGCTGCTTCCTTCTATAGGCTAGGATCATGCTAACGAGGATGAGTCCCTTGAAATCCGAACTATGACGAAGTTTTTCAACTGAAACAACTGGAACTAGGCGATTAGCGGAAAAGGACTGCCCGGTGAAATTCTAGTGAAGAACGAAGTGGTAAAAAAGTTACATTCGGATGCGTGATAACACAATCGGCCACAGAAGCCATGGCACGCGCAACTGGTAGAGCATCGCCTGCAAATCCTCCAATGCTGGCTCCAGTTCCTGTGGGAACGATCATCAGAGCAGTGTATGGTCTCTGCGCAACTCCAGAACCCTGCCCCACACAAAATCCGAAATCTTCCTTACAACCGAGCAGCTACGTCGCTGCAACGGGGTACACCCAGTATGACTGAAACCAGCCACTATTGCCCACTCCCTCTTTCTTCACAAACACCCAAGTGCATACATTTATAGCTGGCATCCAATTCCGAACGCCAAGAGCCATAGTTTTCTCCCGATTGAGCCCAATTGAGCTCGAGACAGGAGGCAAGTGAATCAAGAGCGACAACAATTCACTTACCATCGACGCCCTCGATTGAAAAGCAAACGGTCCATTCTTTCTGCTACGCGCTCTTCTTCGCCCACTCGTTCCGGCGAACAGCTGTGAAGAAGATGCAAGAATGTAAATCAAACTTGGCTCTGTGTCGAGAGTGCTCTCGAGATTTCGACCGAACCCGACCGAACAGGAAATTCATCGCACAAAACTATCGATCAACACTCTGTACTGACTTCATTCCACGGAACTCAGCTGCACTACAGTGCAAAACTCACGTACCTGCCAACAAAACCTGCGGGGGAGGAAGGCGGACGACGAGGAGAGATCAGAACTGCACGACGCACTCGTCAAATCCGCCCGCATTCCTGCTGCGGCAGCGCTAGCTGTTCCAGCTCGAACATCAGAAACTAAAGCGGGGCACAATGCCCCAGCACAAACCGCCATGCCCGCTTGCAGCCAACACCCTCGCTATAACCCAAGCTTTCGTTCGATCTTCGACGAATCAAAGTAATCCTGTGCTGAACCAGACTCCAAATGTGCACACTTCTCGACTGAAGTCCTCTCCACTCCGCCTCGGCTACGACGAACGACCCGAGGACAAGAAGAGGACAGAACTAGAGTGGATAACAAGCTCTCGCGCATCCCGAAGACATGGCACGAGGCGAGCTCCCATCCGACGTCCGTCCGTGATGAAAGATCAGACAGAATTCGGAGCAACGAGCTGGTGGGTGCACGGACCATACACGACGCAGGCCTTGGCCTGGGACGAGGACGACGAAAGGCGATAAGATGAGAAGAGCGGCATTTGTGTTCCATGAATCGGCCACATGTCCTGCTCGGCCTCCCTATTAAAGGCAACAGAATCCCACAACAACGAAAGAAACATTGCTCGCCTAGCTCCTCAGGCCGCCATGATCATCATTAGCCCAGCTCCATATCCAAATCCGGTTGTCCCCTTCAGACCATTGATTTGACCCTAAAGTCCAAATCCCCAAACAATTTCACCTCTCGCCTCCTTTAAGCTCGCTCCTGCCGTAACCTACCTCCTAATAATGCCCTAATTCCTTCCGCACTCCCCTGAAATTGGACTGCATCGAAATCGACATATTCAAGCGGTAGCAAATTTCATGGTTATAAAAGCAAATGGATTTGTAGAGTGTATCTTTCATGATGACCGTGAAGAGACCGCCGGACGATGAATGGAATTCCAATGGAATGATTGTATACGTTCACATTTATGGGGATGTGATTTTTTATGCACACAAGTTATGGTAATAGATCAAGTTCAGGGACCCAAAGGGTCAAAAGGCTAAAAAACACAATACAAGCGACAACCACAAACAGGAGAAAAGACCCCAAATGCCAAACCCTAGGTAGTGCCAAGAACACTAGAACGATAACTAATAATGTCCCTAATATAACAACCTAAATCAAAAGGAACTAACTGTAACAAAGAATAAAAATTCTCTACCTCAATATTATGGGTCACTCTAATCTCTGCATATCTAGTACAAGTAAGAAATACATGCTCTTCATCCTCAACTTCTCTTCCATCACATAGCCTACAAATACGTTGACTCCTATCAATATTAAGCCAACGTCCTTCCTCAATTCCTAGCCTATGAGATCCAGTTCTATGCCTAGCAATAAGATGACGTAAGGACGTAGAGATTCCTGCAAGTAGGTAATACTGTTCACAATAAACAAGCATAGGATTCACATGAAGTTGATAAAACTGCATCTTGGTGCCGCGCTTGCTCCAAATAATGTTCAGAAACTCCTCCTTTAGACGTTCACGTAGTGCTATAGGTTGTAGGTCCCAATCGCGTTCCGTCACATTCCACCTCAAAGACCAAGTTATCACATCCGCTAACCATCCTTTGGCACGTGTGGCACTCAAAGCCTGAGGAGGAAGGCGAGAAGCATCAAGAGATATCACCCTTGTGATGTAAGTGATGGTCAAGTATAGAGCTTAAGCCTCTAGAGGTAAACAACCTGTTTCCGCAAGAAGAATAGCATATGAGGTTTGGTTTCTCACACCCAATTCTTCTTGTAGAAATATCTTCTGCACCCTCTCCACACGCTCCCATCCTGTCTTCTTACAACCAGGACCCCACACTTGGGTTCCATACAATACTACCGGCAACACTAAGCTTCTGAATAAAAATTTCCTAAGACTCCAAGACACAAGATGAGCCCTTCTACACCGATTTAGCAATGAATATAGAGCTTTGTAACCACCTTCTACTCTCTTTTGCACACAAAGTGCCCAACTATAATCATTAGAAAAATCAATGCTTAGATATTTATAACTCTTCAACTCTTCTAATTGTAGATCCTGGTAATAGAAGGAAAACTTGGATCTAGTGCCCACTATCATGACTTTGGACTTCTCTATATTTACCTCCATGTGATTCTGGGTACAAAAGCTAGCCAAAGTGTATAGGTGTTTCTGTAAACTAATTGCATCACGTGCTAGTAATATGATATCATCTGCATACAAGAGAGCTTTGATAACAAAGTTTCCAAGCTTGACACCTTCACTATCACATGCCTCCAACCACTCTTTGATATCATCTATAAAAACTCTAAATAGAGTAGGAGAGAGAGTACAACCTTGAATCACTCCAATGGTACTCAAAACCTCTTCAGTTTGAGAAGTGTTGATCTTGGCTCGTACAGATTGGTAAAGCGTGGCCACAACTGCTAGAAGATCTGATGGTACTCCAATGACTTGCAGCCTTTCCCATAATAGCTCACGAGGTACGGTGTCAAAAGCTTTCTTAAAATCAATGAAGGCGCAAAACAAAGCTTTGCCATTGCACTTCGATTTCTCCCATAAAACACGCAAAGCCAAGATATGGTCAATGGTGTTGTATGTGGGGCGAAAGCCTGCTTGAAACCGCGCTCTCTTTCGATGAGATTCAGTCCATGTGCTCAACTTTGACTCCACCAATTTGCCAAACAACTTGGCAAAAACACTACCCATCATGATAGTGCGATAGTTTGTCACCAAGTCCTTCCTTCCTGACTTGTGAATAGGCACAATCTTCCGTAATGACCAAGCTGAAGGAAAACCATACATAGCTGCATTCTCTAACGCTTTGGTGAGTCTCGGTCCAATAAGATCTCCTCCCCACTTCAAAAGTTCAATAGAGAGACCATCCAAATCCTCCGATTTACCATTTGCTAATTTTCTAACTTGAGTCATCACCTCTGATTCAGAAAATAAGCCTGATGTTCCTTCACAACAAGGCATTGATGCAGCGTTGGGAAAGAAATAAAGCTTTTCAGCAAAGTCAATCAAACTCTTGGGATCAAGAGTAGGTTTTGAAGACCTTACAGCTAACCGTCTCCAAAAGGATTTGCGATTCTCCATCAACTCCTTTGTCAAGGATTCCTGCTTCGTCCTCAAAAAAGCTCTTTTTTTAGACTTCACCAAGTCTTTGTAAAGCCTTGTCAAGGTAAGCCGACTTTGGAAATCCAAAGACTTGTCAACTGATCTCATCCTCGCTTGCTTACAATCCAAGTCAAACCATCCATTGCAAGGAAGACCCCTAGCTCTTCGATCCTTGTGCCGCAAAAAGAACTTAGAAGCAGTGTCTTTGAGCAACTCTATTAATTGCCCACTCGCTGTATGTGGATCAAGGCTCCATGAAGTGTGAGTCAAAAGGTTTTGAAAATGTAACATGTACAACTCTTTCTTACTAGGATCTAAACGAAACTTGGGAGAAGCTAAAACAGAATGGCATGGAGAGAGAGGGATTGTTTTTGATAACAAGAGAGTAAATAAGAGAGGTGCATGATCTGACTCTGGCTGAGGTTCTAGAATATCAAATTTCGAAATAAAAGAGCTATGAGTGGCTGAAGATAGAAGATAATCAATGGTGCTAACACCTGTAGGAGAAAAGCACGTATTGGAAAGGGAGTTGGGAAAGAGAGAGATACCGTTGAGAACTTTCAAATTACATGTGGCTCCAAAGGTTAGAAAGTGTTCTGTCAAAGGATTTGTACAAATATCAGAAGACTTTCTACACCACATACTATCTTCAAGTTCTTCAAAGGAGTGAGAACTCAAGAGATCACCAACTTGAGTAAATTGTGCACAACCTATTCGAGCATTGAAATCTCCAACCAGAAAAACTTCACCTTTGCTCTGATAATTGAGAACATCTCCTATAAGTCGATGGAATGGTTGACTCGGATTGCAAGTGCGTGTGGAGTAGATAGGCATGGACAATGGTGCAAAGTAACAAACAGCCAAATAACTATAAGATCCTCCAACCAAACCTCTTATGGAGGCCTCTCGTCCTTGTGGACTCCCTTTATCAAGAGCCGAATGCACTTGCATTGCAGAGTCAATGGACGAGGAAGAGGCTTTTGATTTGGTTAAATGCACTTGTTATCGTGGTCAAACAAGTTATTGGATCATGCGCATCTTCTGCTCGTGTGCCGAACGAGCGAATGATTTTCTTGGCCGTGGGCGACATTATTTTTTACCCGATTCGGAGAATTGTGGTTCACATGTGTTGCTGCTATTTGCTTCAGCTTGCTTGCAAGAGGCAAATGGGAACCATCGATAGTTCATCGGTTGTGTGCTCTTTATTCATGATGCATACCACTTACACAGAGAACAAGACTGTCATAGTCGCTTGTTTATTATTTCATAAGGTACTACTGTAAGTATTGAAAACCAACAACCAAAAAAACTCCTTTTGTTGATTCATCATGCCAAGGACACCAATTAATGAATGAGTTAATGCAATAAAAAATCATCTCAATCTATAGTATAATCTTGATATCACATTATTATTTGTAGGAACTTTCTGAATGAAACCTTCATACTTTTGTATATCAATGGATTCCCCTGATTGGAAATGTTCCAAAATGCATTACATATAGCGATTTAGGTACCTTATATAGTCTGTACTACTCTAGTACGAATTTACAGATAGTTGCTTGGGTAGCAAATGAAGATCCACCTGTACTCATGTACAAGCGTTAATGGCTAATCAATCCATTTCCGGAGTGTAGGTCCAGAAGGAGTACATAGCGAATCGCGACATCAATGATTGATTGAAAATCGTTCAAATTAAATATTTAGTAAACTAAATTAGTCTAAATTATTTTTTAAAGATATTATGTTGACTGAAATTGATGTTTTGGACGTGACTAAATTAAACTAAATTAGGCATAATGTACAACTGACTGGAAAAATAAGAGAGGCTTCGGAGAACATGAAGTTCCCTTGGCCCCGTAGGCAGCGATTCGAACAAATGTTCACATCTTTGCCTCGCAAGCTTGCCTTCAACACACGATGGATGCACTAAAGCTGGCCACGGGAAACTCGCTAATTATTAGCTCGGTGTGAAACTTGCACCCAGCTGTACTATATTCGCTAATTATCAGTGCCTGATGGAAGACCTTCGACGGAATAAAACAAAAGTGAACTCTCCGACTGCTCATTCAGTCAAAGCGCTTCCATTATGGACTGCTAATTAGTGCATTCCGTACATTAACTTTTTTTGGGGATTGAAGTACAACTTGTAAGTTTTGAAAATATAGTTACAGATTAGGAGTTTTGGGAAATATTACATTTTTTTTTCAATGCATACGATAGGGCTCTGGTTTCTTCTTTCTACAGCCAGCCTGAACAAATATTCTCATTTTCTTCTAAGTACTTGGCTTTTTCTTTCGGTTTGGAAATAGTTCAGTAGACTTGAAGTTAAGGTTGTTAACGTATGGGAATGATCAGCAACCAGTTGTTCTTTATCTGTTTTGAGGAATACCAGGTGCTAAAAAAAAGAAATGTAGTTTCAGATGTGTGCTCGCAGAGTAATATCCTAACTATGGCCATATCTATTCACATGAAGAAAGTGTTCAAATATACAGATATATAATATAGGAAATTTGCATTCGTATGTCTTGACTCGCATCAAGACATACGAATTTTATCAACGTCAAAAGAAACACTCTTGCTCATTTATAATCTAAGCAAAGAACGCCTGATATGTAAACACATGAATATCATTTTAAAGACATGGGGATGAGGGTCTCCAAGTAGAGACATATGTAGATATTTCAAATTTTTTGCATAAAATTAATGAAACATAAAATTATCTCAAGTTTTATATAGATTTTGACATGTTAGTGAGTAAAATTTAATCATCTTAGAGAAATCCATTAGATCTAAGTATTTATTTAGAAGAGTACTTTATAGTATTCTATAACATAAGTTAACATATTCTTAAAAATTTTTATATCTATATCACGATACCATATATTTTCAGTACTTATGTTCAATATTTGAATTTTCTAAGAAAGTGTGTCATGTTTTTCTCTCTCTTGGTGCTTTCTCAAATATGAATGAACATATCTTCGTAAATTGTGTCTAGTAGCGTAATCGTATGTGCTAAGACGCAATAATGTGCTCAAGTGTACAAGGTTCGCCCTCGGAACAAGGAAGAGCTCGCAGGGATGGTCCCACGGTGGGGCACGCGCGGGGGGCGGGACCAGGTTTACGGACCCCAGACGCAAGAATACAAGGCGCGGCGAATTCCCCAGAAGGCTTCCCTAGACGACAAAAAAGGTGAATGGCAACCGAGAGGCGAAGGTTCAGGTTCATTGGGTCCGGGATCTACGGGTAAGACTCTGGCCCAGCCGCCGAAAAGTGCGTTCCGCAAAATGGGAGTTACCGGTGAAGGCGGAAACGTCCGAATCTGGGACGCGAACAAGTCAGTCCAGTCGGTAAGTCCGCGACCGCTCTCCTCCCGTCAACCCCGAACTCCAGAGTCCCAAGCCCCAACCAGCCAGCCGCCCGTAAGGACCGGTCTCCGGTGAGCCCTCGCATTGTCGGGACCGGCCAGTCGGTACCCGGACAACCGGCCGACGGAAAGAAAAGCCGAGACAACGAGAGGCCGCTGGCGGAATAAGGTACGGTGCGTCGGGTCTTCGGTTGTCGGGCGTCCGTCGGGGTCGTCGCTCGTCCTTCCTTCGTCGGGCCGCACGTTTTCGTCCTTTCGTCTTTTCGCCCTGTCGCCTTTTTCGGCCTGTGCCTTCGGTGCCCTTCTCTTTTCTTCTCGTCCCTAACCGGTCGGTCTCTCATTCGGAGTGCTGCCGCTGCTGGCCCTCCTTCCCCCTCCCCCTCTCCCTCCCTTTCTGCTGCTGCTGGCCCTCCTTACCCCTCGGCCTCCCCATTCCTTCCTTCCTTTCTGCTGCTGCTGCTGGCCCTCCTTCCCCCTCGGCCTTCCCCTCCCTTGCTTCCTTTCTGCTGCTGCTGCTGGATCCTGGCTTGGCTTCTTCTCGGATCGTCGTCCTCGTCGTCTCCTCCTCCTTCTGACTAGGCAGGCAGCCACTGGCTTACCTGAGTCCAGTAGCCAGGACCAGTAGCACCATCTCCGTTATCAAACACTGACCTGCCTGCTGCTGCTGGTGCTGCTGCTTCTTCTCCCTCCTCTTCTGCAGCTTCTGCTTCTATGCCATTGCCACGACCTCTTTTCTCCCTTTCTCACTCTCTCCCTCTCTCTTTCTCCCCCTCTTCTCTCCTCCTCCTCCCCCTTCTCCTCTCCTCTCCTCTCCCATCCCCTCCCTCCCTCCCCCTCTCGGCCCCCTTTCTTTCTCCCTCCCTCTTCGGCCTGCCTTTCCCTGTCTGTCTGTCAGTCAGTCCCCTGTCTCCGTTCTAGCCTTGGACGCCACTGCAGCACTGGCTCGCTCGCTAGTTTCATGAGTGATGAAATCTGAGGTCGGTCGGTCGATCGATGCACGCCATGGTTTTACGTCTCATCGGTGGTAGTCGTCAAAGTTTATTACTCCTGTCTTCGTCACCCCCATTGTCCATAGCGTCGTCCGTCCATGCGACGCTGTGCGTTTGTTGCCGTCGTCGAGGAAAAAAGTTCATTTGTAGAGGAAAAGAGCTCGGCCGAGTGCGTGTGTGAGAGGTAGAGTTAGAGAAGACGTAGAGAGAGAGAGAGAGAGAGAGAGAGAGAGAGAGAGAGAGAGAGAGAGAGAGAGAGAGAGAGAGAATCTGAGAGGAAACTGCTTTTGTAGATACCATTTTTTCCCCCACGGCGCAGGATTTAGTAAAGGATGGAGCCGCTGCAAGCTAGCAAGCGTGATGCAACTGCGGAAACCCGACTTTTCCAAGGACGCGCAAGCCACCATCTTGACAATCTGCCGGAGCCGGTCCCTCCTTGTAAGTGCCGATTGGTGGATTCATGTATCTAGGTTTGTGCGTCGTCGCTCAGTGATCATCACTGCTCCAGCCGCGTGGATTGTTTTTGCTCCAGATTCCGTCTTTTCTGTGATGAATTCCAACCCTATTTCGATCAATGCCCGTGGTCGAAAAATGGATCGGGATCTACGCAGCCTGCATCCGGCGGGAACGAGCGTCGCCGCGAGGGTTGAGTGTAAGATGGGCCTCGCTTCTGCGTGTTCTATGCCCGAAGGGAAAATTGTGACAGTTTCAGTAGTTGTTGCCCCCGGACATGTCTCGTTTCGAGGTTTTATGACCGCCTTCTTGTTCACACAGCATGGCAGTCAAAGTTCGCCATGGCTCGCGAGAAGAGCTGTCAGTCTGCGCTGCAGACAACGCCATCGTTCTGGCCTTCGCCTACTTCCGTCTCATCTTGTGACCTTTTCATGAAGCCCCTCGTACTCGACGCATGCTCCACTCACTGGACCTCATGCTTTGCTCATGATGGCATCCTTGGGCTTTTATAACGTTGTGTGTGAGTTGCGCCTGCACATCGCAGTAGTGGGATTTTCCAGCTTCCCTGACTGATCTTCCTTCATGTCGGCCCTCATTGGGGCCCTGTTAAATTTCGTTTATCTATTTAATGATATATACACCGAGGCCCAATCGAAGCTGGGACAAGGAGGATGCATCTCCACATGGGATTGGGTCTTTCTGGCACCAGATTCTCAGAAGCCGTGTAGTGTTAGAGGTCTATCACGGCAGTTTAGTACAAATTCATCCAAGCCATTTCTGCCACCCCAGATCTCAAATCCTAGAGCTGTCTCTAGTCTTCAAGCTTCAACTCTGTTAGGCAGAACCAATCTGCTGCTATTCCGATTTTATCCTCTGAGATGGGTTTGTATGAGACTACAGGATTCAAATCCTCTCGATCTCGGCGTTGTCTGAATTAGGGATAGTTCGGAGTCGGAATGATCTCTTTAGATTTCTGAACAGATCAGACATCTCTGGGAAGAAAGCCCGTCTCATCATGCAGTCGTGTTTATTGTCCACATCTTCCTCCAGCCTTCATGCAGCATCAGTGTTGGACTCCGTTATGACGTAATGCGAACTACCTGCGTTCCAGTTGGACGCGGGTAGTCTTCTGAGCCGATGCCTTCGGAGACTGTGTGTGTAGCAGTTTGATTCCTTCCCGTGTTAACCTGGTTCTGATTTTCCGCGCATCTACCAGCTACTTCGGGGTTCTCCAGGGCGGCCCTCAAGACTTATTTTACAGTGAACTGTAGTTGTGTCTTTGGAGGGATCCGCCGAAGGAGCTCGTCTAGAGCCTGTCTATGAAATTATAATCTCTCGGAGATCCTACGGCTGGCGACCTGGGCGTAGCGCACACACGGCTCAGAAGATAAACAGATTATGTTCCATTTAAGGAATATAATGGGAAGTATGAAGGGGTTTTGGCTCCAAAATTATCCGAAATAAGATCTTATTTACTTTAATGCTCCGCTGGATAGCTCCATGCGTGTTGATCGTATGTATCAACCAGGTCATAGATGGTTTGTCCTCTACCTACTTGTAATTATTTAATGACAGTAATGCTGTCTTGGTGCTTGAGCGCCGCTTTACGATTCAATGGCGCAGCTCTCTACGACGACCCGGCAGATTGATGCTCGGTTACAGGTTGCCTGGAGATGTGAAGGTCGAGATAAGATTTACCAACTTTGCTGCTAATGCCCTTCCTCGTCTTACCTTCTCATTGTTTTCCGTTTGCTTGCAGCCGATGAGCGGTTTGATGCATCTCAATATGCTTTCTTTGGGAGGGATGTAACGCAAGAGGTCGAGATAGGTGGCTTGGATGAGGAGGACGATTCTGAACAGGCAGAAGTGCCAGAGGATGACATTGTGGAGGAGACTTTTTCTTTGGTTGATGGAAGGGAGGAAGTGAGTAATTTTGCGGCCTATGTCTTCAGTCACTTGTTTATGCACTAAAGCTTTTGACAAGCCATGCATGCCTTATCAGATTTTCATGACATTACGTCACCCGCTGTTTTTCATTTCTTCATATTTGAGTCTTCTTCGCCAAAGCCCTTTCTTCCTGAAGGTGTTCATCTGAACTTGAACCGCGAAGTCGTATTCTCTGCAGTGACCTTATTACGATTATCTGCTGTTGCAGATTGAGACTTTCGGATCTACTTCAGACGTGGACGATGTGTCTGAGCTTGCAACTTCATTTCTGAAGGTAGCTGAAGCTAACATCCTACATATCTAGGAGAGCATTGGAGAATCTCATCGTATGTTTCACATTTCAAGTAAAGATTAGTGGTAAACGATCTGAGGTGACGAAATTTGTGCTCAGCTCTTTTACTGAGATCAGTGGAGGTTGTTGTGTTTCTTTCCAGCAAAATAGGATTGCACCACGGTCAGATGGCGAAGCTGGATCTTTAGGTAGTTTGGAGGCCGGATCCAATGCCAATGGCGGGGAAGGTCAGTTTCATTACGCAATTTAGATGTATCATGTGGACGATTTGCAAAACGGATTGTCTAGCCTGCTCATTAAAAGCTCTGTCAAGGTTATTCATTAGTCACGTTGTAGAGTGTTAGCTCCCATGCACACCGTACCGTGGCACTCGCGCTCTTTATCTCTGCAGAAGATGATCAACTCTTCCATGTTTCTGAAGGTATTTTTGTCCATGGCAGCTGCAGCAGCCCCTACCCAGCCGTTTGAGATTAGTCCTCCCTCCAATTGGTTGGATCATACAAATCAAGATACTGAAGCAGAGCGAGGAGCAAGAAAATGGTGGCCAAACAATCAACAACAACCAACAGGATCAGAAGTTGACGGTGCGTCGGGCTCTTCAACACATCAAGCACAACCTCAGGCGCAACAGCAGCAGGAACCACAACATCCACCACAGCAGCAGCAGACGCAGACACAGCAGCCACAGCAGCAACAGCAATGGTGGGGAATGGATCCCAGTTCACAAGCCTCACCGCCCGCTGGGGCTATGTACTCACCTCAACGACCGCAGCAGGCTTTGCAAGGGGCTTCCTCGGGTCAGGGACAGATGATGCGATCACCGACGCAGGCACAAGCTCCGGCTGGACCGCTACCCGGTCAATACAGACAGCAATATTCAGGAATTCAACCTCCCATGGGAGTCATGCCGTCCATGACTCCTTACGGTGCAGGTATCCCACCTCAATTCAGCTCGTCCATGACCCCGTTAGCACCTCCTGCCCAGTGGTTAGCTCAAGCGAATGTCCAAATGGGATCTGGCCCTGGTTCTGGTCCTCAGCAAATACCCCAGCACTCCACTCTAATGCCTCCTCAGGTCGTGCTTCAGTATCAGCGTCCGCACGTACCCCAACTGCACGCTGTACCACCTCCCCCATATCCTCCCCATCTGAAGCCCCAACACATGTACAATGTCACACCCCCAGCTCCACAAATGTTACCAAAAATGGGAGAGAGTTTAATTACTGGGGATTTTAGGGACCATGCCCAGTTTAGAGGTAGACAGTCTCAACAGCGGCATCATCAGCATGGTCTGCAAGATGGAAATTTTCCAGGTAGAAACACACAGAGTAATGGATGGCAGCCGCTACGATCCAAATACATGACTGTGGAGGAAATCGAAAATATTGTAAGGATCCAGTGGGCGGCCACCCACAGCAGTGATCCTTACGTGGATGACTACTATCACCAGGCGGTGCAAGCGAAAATGTCGTCGAACTCTCCCCATGGAAGGCGTCACTTTGCTCCATCTCATCTACGAGATCTGCCCTCGCACACTCGAGCAGCAGTAGAACCGCACGCGTACCTCCAAGTCGACGCTCTCGGCAGAGTTCCATTCTCATCCATTCGTAGGCCCCGTCCCTTGTTAGAAATGGATTCTGCGGCAGGAATTGGAGGCCTCTCAGGTATGGGACAAGGTGATGGTTTGGTAGAGGGAGTCCCACAGCACAGGCCTCTGGAGCAAGAACCGATGTTGGCGGCTAGGATAGCCATCGAGGACGGTTTGTGTCTGTTGCTGGACGTAGATGATATTGATAGACTGCTGACCATATCCCAACCCCTTGACGGTGGAGCCCAACTGAGACGACGTCGACAACTGCTGTTGGAAGGATTGGCAGCCTCCTTGCAGCTGGCCGATGTCAATGGCATGGACGCAGGTGGCCGGAATGGAAATGGGCGATTCGTGGGCCTGAGTGCCAAAGACGATCTGGTGTTCCTCCGCCTGGTGTCCCTGCCCAAGGGGCGCAAGCTGCTCACGCGGTACCTGCAACTTCTGTGTCCAGGGAGCGAGCTGGTGCGCGTCGTGGCCATGGCCCTCTTCCGACACCTGCGGTTCCTGTTCGGAGGAGTGCAGTCGGATCCGAGCACTTCGGCAACCAGTGTGGGCCTGGCGAACGCAGCTGCGATGTCGGTGTTGAACATGGACTTGCCATCGCTGAGCGCTTGCTTGGCGGCCGTGGTGCTAGCGCCCGAGCAGCCTCCGCTGAGACCCATGGGCAGCCCTGCGGGAGACGGGGCCACCGTGGTGCTGAGGGCGGTGCTGGAGCGAGCGACGAGCCTGCTGACGGATCGCACTGCGGCGTACCCGATGCAGAATCGAGCTGTGTGGCAAGCGTCGTTCGATGCATTTTTCGCGCTGCTTGCCAAGTACTGTACAAATAAGTATGATAGTATCTTCCATTCATTGATGATGGCGTCGCCAGGGAACTCGGCAGCCATCAACCAAGCCGCGGCCGTGGCAATGAGTAAGGAGATGCCGGTCGAGCTGCTGAGGGCGAGCCTGCCTCACACGAACGACCACCAGCGCAAACTGCTGCTGGAATTCACCCAACGATCCATGGCCATGGGCGCCTTCCCCAGTCCTGGCAGTGACGGGCATGCGAACACCGCTGCTGTCCGAGGGTGATAGTAGATTTAACTTTACGTAGGACCGTACTCTGGCCTGTTAGTCTCTTTGTATTTCATTCACAGTCCCATTCCTCAATGGTGTACATGTTGCCCTCGCGAAACGAAGTTTCAGCTTGTCTTAGATTGCTCGAGAACCGGTTTTGAACTTAGAAATCACCCTTTACACTTGGCCCCATTTGATCACTAGGCATCTACTTAACTGTGGCTGCCTCTGAAGTTGGGCTTTCTTGGAGGGTCCAAATCTGTACAGCAATCTTAGAGGATATTGGCCGCAGTTGCAGATGAGTAACCAAACTCTACCGAGCTCTTTTGAGTCCATGTTTGCGCTTTCCTGTCTTTTCTTGCAAACCTATAGATTACATAATTGCAGTGAACGATGTCTACTTAGATATGATTACTTGCCCTTTTGGTTTTGAAACTTTTGAGCCACAGATGGTCTCCATCGACCTCTGGCTTTGTACCATGTGAAGCCATTACTTCTTGTATGAAAGTAGCACCTGTGCTTTTGTCAGGCACTCTGATATTAGGGACGTAACCATTCTGCTACCCTACCTTAATCGAACCATGTTAGAGGGTTTCTTGACCAGGTGTGTAGTGTTCTAAGTGTTCTTAAGAGTAGAGACGAGACAGTCAGTATCCTGTAGTCATTTAAAGAGGAGAGGTAGATGTATGATATATGACTGTCACAGTGCTAGCCTGTTGGCAAACCAAGGTGTTCTTGGATTTGACAATTTTGAGCATTGCAAGTATACACCTGTACCCTGGTGTTTTAATAACTGCGCTTTGCAAGGTACGAGAGGTTGGTTATACCAGCAATCTATTTTTTGGGGAGATGAAAGGGCTAGAGCCTACTCCTCTCCCGAGTCTGTAGGGTAATAAAACATTGTCTTGGTTTTTAGAGAGATGTTGCCTCCCGGTGATGACAGCATCCGAGGCACGTTCCACAGAAATGATTGACTATGCTTCTGATTGTCAGCTAGCTTGCAAATATACCACATTGTACCCATCAGTTGGCAAAAGAACTTCATAGCTATTCATGAAACAGAAGAACTAGCACTACATGTTCTTCCCTGAAGCTTATCGTTGGTGTAATACAAATAGCTTTTCATATCTTTGTGCTCTTCCAGCCTACTCCCGTTCGTCCCCATCTGGTGCGATTGCTTGCCTTCTGAAGCTTTGTGGCTTTTCATGTTGCCACCACATTCTTGAAGAATCTGCAATTCTTTTCAACCCCTAATTAAGTGTCCGTTTAGAGAACGGCAAGTCTAGACTTAAGTCTACGGTTTCAAAGATCGGCCAAACATGCGACCTCGGAGATTAGCTCACCACTTCATCGTTGACAGTGTAAGACATGCCAGCTCCAAACACTAACCGTGATCAGGGACCGCCGCCGCGGCCTTTCGGCAGCTTGTGCATGCGTCGAATAAACTCGACGTGATCAGCAAGAACACGCGGGGAATCACACTCTGGTATCACAATCCAGCGATGAGAGAGTACTTCTATCGCCGGAATGATGCCAAAACGTGTGGGGATTGGAGTAACGGTTCAAGGTCGTGATGTAAGGGTTCTCACCTTTCTAACTGTGGACAGCAGTTGACTAAAAGAAATCTGAGGGTACAGTGATGATCGTCTCCAGTGGTTTTGGGTGGATAGCCTGACTACCTACCATCGCAGCCGTGCCATCACTACCTACGTGCTCAGCTTCCAAAGCTTCGACGATCATCGCTGGGTTACTCCCCTTGCTACTCGTCAACTCAAAAGCACGTAGATAAATCCGGGTCTAACATCATCCAAAGGAAGCGGAAGATCTTGCGACTTTGCAGAGCGCTTCTATTCAAAGAGCTGCTGTCGATGAAGCATGAAGAAGTTCTGATCCCATGAGCATGCCTTTTGCCGTGGATTCCGCGCTCATAGAGTTACAGATTTCGTCGCATTTGTACCAGTCTGGCACGAGAATTTGAATGATCCTGAGACTTTGTCTCAAACAAGACCAAAACAGTATCCTGGCCATGGCGGAGTCGCTATGACTACCCACCTTTGCCTTCCCAAGGGTGTAGATAGGATGCCTGCAGTCGCAAGTATGGCTTTGAGCTTGAGATTCTTACTGCCGAGAGTCTTGCCTACGAAAACTCCTGCAAATGCCCCCGGTAGTCAATTCTTACGCGGGCGAGCGGTGTCGCTGAGTTCTAACATTGCTTCCGGTTCTTCTCGAGAATTGTTCTCTTTAACTTGTCGATGTCAGAAGGGGCTGGAGAAAGTGTTCGGAGATCGAGGACCCGTGTATGTTTGCACTGATCCCTCGAATATCGATGCGGAGCAGCTGAGCTCTTTCCTCGCCGCGAGCAATCAAAATTGCGAGCTATTTCCCAGATTGCGAGACGATGGATCCGTGGTGCCTGTGAACCCTACGAAGCTTCGCCGTGCCTTGCGACACAGCACCGTCGTTGTAGCTTTGTACGTGGAGCAGGACGACGAAGAGGAGTGCGAAGCAGAAGCAGACAGAATTGATCAAATTCCAGGGCAGCCTGGCCGAGGGTGGCTTGACTACTGGAAGCCTAGGCCTGAGAGGAGGAGGACTCTGGTCGCGTTCGGTAGAGCCACTTCTGACTTCTCGCTCACTGCATCTATCTATGATCTTGCGGTGAGGACCCGAGCCCTTTCCTCCCAACTCTCTTCTGAATTCCTCACAGTTCGTCGTGACATCTCTCGTCCTCACGAGCTCGACAAAGATTCCTGAGTTCTTGCGTACGCCTCTCGCTGACACTGCCACCAGTTCGCCAGCCCCTTTCCATCCCTGAGTCGTAGGTTTCTCTTGTGATTCTTCCTCGAAGTGGCCATCTTTAAAATCCCCATCGCCCTCCATTTGACACCCACTATGCTCATGCCTCCAGGTCGCACCATCGTACCAAAGGGCGGGCTACGGAAGCCGAGTACTGCTTCGAATTGTCAGGTTCGTGCTGCGGTTGACTGATATTTGAGACTTGATCAGGGCCTTGGGCGAACATTTGCATCCCAATTCCTGAGCAGCGCTGGCAGAATTTCTCGATCAATTTCAATTTCTCGATCCCTTACGAAGCTGATAAATTTGTGGCTGCAGAGAATTGAGACGGAAAGGCATCTGCGACATCGCCGTGACGCCCGCACCAGAGCTCAGGTGACAAAGGCGGCCTTGCCGTTGAATTTTGAATTTGAATCGGGTGTCAATTTGGCGGGCTACTCGCTCATGGGATCGATGCTCTTAAGCCCCTTCTCGATCGATGATGCTGTAGAATGTCTGCTTCGATTGTTTCTCTCTCAGAGTGCAGATCTCGGTTGAGCTCGCAGGAAGGTCCATGGGTTCCAGTTCTCGTGGCTTTCAAGGTTGAGTTGATCGAGTTGACGAGCAAGCTTGGCTTGGCAGCCTCGACGTTTGGAGTCCTTGCCACGTTTTGCAGCTGGAAGAATTCGGAGATGAACTGGTGAACGCCGTCTGGTCGTTTCATGGGCTTGATGTCGTTGCTCTGGCATGCAGGAAATTTTTTGAGAAATGCGGGTTCGCCCCAGACCAGCTGAACTCCACCACGATGATGTACACGCTCAGCGCGACGGATGCGGGTCAAAGTGCCAGCGAGATCAAAGAGTACGGCAGAAAAATGTTTCTCATCCCACCACCTCTCACTCCTCGCGCTTCGACGCGGATCCTGGAAAGAAGCCGGCTCTAACAGCACATTTCTGACCTTGCTTCTCCTGCCGCCGAGTAGAATTTCTCGTAGGCCTCAAACGCTGAATGCTGACCATGCTGGACCTCTGATTAGATTCTGTGACTCGGCCGGCCTACTTTTGTACAACATCCCCTCCCCTGTACAGATAGATGCTCGATGGATTTTGCTCTGCGTCTCAGTTCTCTTGCAGCAAATAAAGGTGATTACTGCCTCATCAAACGAGGTTGCTACCTCATCTTCTGACCTGTTCTACGTCTTGCATTCCATAGCGTGAACCGTGGGGTACCTGTCTCGAGGTTCCTTTGCCTGAACCAAGTAATTTCTCTCATTTATATTAGAAAAAGTCGCCGCTGATGGTAGATGAACTACCGCAGCCAGCTACTAGTGTACAGTACATCTGGATTATTCTCTTCTATCGATAGAGATGGAGTTGTTGTGTGAGTTCCAAGTCTTTGTCTTTGATGGACGGAGGGTATACCTTGACGTCGTTTGTGGAACCTGAAGCTGCAGAATGAGATCTGCACTTGCGTGATAGAGACGCGAGCATTGTGACAGCGATGGAAAGCATGTCAAAGATGAGAGGGAAACTGTTTTAGATATCGTAAATCATGCCAACTTCAATTAGCCGAGTTGTTGGAATGTTGAGCATAATAACACTTGATCTAGAATTCTTGCGCAGCACACAGTACAAAATGTCAATAATGAATCGCTTACTCCAGCTCGATCCCGGCTTGGCCTGCACTTCGGTGCATCCTATCACGTAAACAACTCCACTCTCTTTCGCATTATACAAGTACTTCAGTTCTTCGTTGATCACCTCTGCTTGCGTCTTGACGGTGATGGAATGTGGACTGGAGGGCGAAAGCTGGATGTATGTCCTCGGGGGCCGTGTCGATGGAGGCCCTGCAGCAAATTTGGCCAGGTGCACTATCTCCGAGGTAGAAGACGTAATTTTGGCTTCTACTGGAGGAGACATCGTTCCTCTCGATGAGGAATTGGAGACGCCTGCCGTCTGCCAGTACTTGTCCTGCTTAATGAGTTCGGCTATCTTGCCGACCAGAAGGTCATCGAAGGCCTCTCCCGCACACGGAGTTTCATTATATCCGTAGCGCACCACACACTGGTAGAAGTTTTTCACGGCCAAGGGTTTCATGTAGAACCTCTCACCCGGAAGAACGCTGGTCACAGGCACGTACTTAATGCAGATGAAGACCAGGACCTGGTGGATGGCAGGAATGTTGCTAATGAAGTGGGAGAATGTCGGGGGAATGCCCGAGTCGGTTTCGCTGTAGAAAAGCCCTATACCTGGAACTCTAGTGATTCTAGAATCTCCGAGGAGTTCGTCTAACTGGTCTATATGAACCATGTGTTGCAAATCAAACTTGTGCTTTTGCAGAGTTCCAAATTGCCAGATCAACATTATGGACAGGATGAATGTCGCTATGACAAGAGGCACCCAGCCTCCCGAAGCCACCTTGTACAGAACGGAACTCAGGTACACCGCCTCAATGCTCCCAAAAAACACCAGAAACAAGATCCCCAGCAGAAAGTGCTGATGCCAGACTACCACAATCACGAGCGCCACAAGGCAGGTTGTGATGGACATCACAGAAACCACAGCGATTCCTGTAAACAAAGGCGTTAAAGAGATGGTTAGCCACTGGATCCATGCAATGACTCCAAGTCATCGGCCTCTGCTGTGTCTGTTCAGCCGCCAAGTGGAAAATGGGGATTGTAATTGCCAACACAGTAATTACTGCGACGGAGTATTGAGACAGACCAGGTGGGGACAATGGTCATCTAAGATATACAAGGGAGCAGATTCATCAGTGCGCAGGGTCAGTGGGATGAGATTATTATGGGATTTACTGACTAGTGTACTATCTCCGCATCTCAGAGTCTTACCGTATGCATTTCCTATCGCTGTCGTCTTTCGGAATCCTACTACCACGGCGATGCATAGTATCATGAGCGTATAATTCACTTCCGGAATATAAATCTGCCCCTGGACTGTCGTAGACGTGTAGATAACTTTCACTCTAGGGAAGCAGCCGAGATTGCAGGATTGGTTAATGACGGAGAAGGCTCCGGATATCATGGCCTGGCTGGCAACAATGGTAGCTAGTGTAGCGATCACCAACATGGGCCAGAAGATAGGTTTTGGGACCGACTTGAAAAACGTGTCAGCCACATTTTCAGGATTCTTGGTCAAATACGCGGCTTGTCCAAAGTATGCTAATACAAGAGAGGGATAAACGACGCCTGCAAATGCAATCTGCGAGGCACAACAGTGGTTAAGTAAGTAGTCGAACCTGGTGTGAGAATTTCAGACCTCGAGGTCTGAAAATCGCCTCAAAGTGAGAAAACAGGGTTTAGACCTTGGAAGATGACAGGTTCTTCAAGTTCTGCTTCCTGCAAGTCGTGCTAGGATTGATTTCTGTATCGGAAAAGACCAAATTCAGCTCTGACCTGAATGGACCGCTGAGAGAAGTGCCCCAAGTCTGCAAACATAGCTTCTGTGCCTGCAGCTTGTACAAAAATTTTAAAGTTGTCAACGGAAACTGGTAGTGGCAACGCCAATCAAGCTGAGCAGATTACATCTCGGGACCAAGCTATCGTCAACAGAATATGGTAGTCGGGGGATGTGGGATAGTTGGACCTAGGAAAGTCTGAAAAATGCGAGCATTATGTCGAGATGCAAATGTGGACCTGTAATGCTCAGTACCACTCCCCCTAGCATGATCCACCCGTTCTTCTTGTTGCGAATCAGGAAGGTGATGGCATAATGTGGTGAAAATGCCCGAAATATGCTGGGCTGGTGAACGACTATGTTGTAGATTCCGATCCCCGAGATAAGGCCCAACCATAGAAGCACAACAGGGGCAAATAGAAAACCAACTTTTGCGGTTCCAAATCGTTGAAGAACGAACAGTCCGATCAATATCAAACAGGTAATGAGCACCACGACATCTGCGTCCATGAGTTGAAATCAACTTATCAATTACACGACGGGACTCCAAGTGAAGCACATACAGGATTACCAAAGGTCAAAGACAACGGAAATCAATCAAGTCGAGTCATGTTCCTTACTCTGGTGCAACGATGTTGCCACAACCTGAATGCCTTCAACTGCTGATAACACTGCATGCAGAGCAGAGATCAGATCCCTCTGGATCCCGCAAGTTAAGTTATGAACTATGGATTTGACACGTGCCTGAGCTTTAGCTTAGATTGCATAACTGATTTTCTGAAATGTCAGTTGCAAAGGTTTACACCTCAGATCAGTTCATGCACAGGAACCATGCTTCAGGATTTGCCCTCGGGGTGATTTCTAGATTGGAATCAGATCTTAGGAAATGATGAACGAGTCCACTCCAACTGTAGCACTTCTTCTACAGAGTTATATTCCAAAAAGAAGCTCGATCTAAGGATCCTGGTGAGAATGAATTTCACGTGGGATGATATTATGCCGAGGGACCGCGACCATGACATCCATCATGCTCACGGAGTTCTACGGCAAAAGACTACCTGAAATGGCAGGTGTCAAGATGCCATCTCCAATCACCATGCAGCTCCCGGCCATGACGACTACCAGTAAAAGCTTGTGTAGCATTGGGCTCCTCTCCATACACGTTTCGAGTCTCGAATGACTTGCATGCTTCTTCGTTTTATAGTTTGCCAGTTTCTTATCTGACTTGTGCTGGGATATGAGCAAACTTATATTTACATGGCGACAGAGAAGCGTGTAAAGGGCGGCTGTTCCACCTGCAATGGGGTTTCGTACTCTTCATCAGAGTATGAATCATCAGTACTTTCCCATTTCATTGTCAATGTTAGTTATGTACGTGATTGTTCAGCGCCCTTACCGAAGCTTTCTCTTGTACTGCACTCACGGACCTTATTCAATCTGGCCTTAAATTCTCTTATCTCGTTCGAGTTTTGATGTCAGTGTTCTACTTTGCAGTGGTTACAAGTTCAGCGCAGAAACGAAGGGGATCGCTAAAGGCCAGTACTTTTCATGCGAGGATTTCCCACTTTAAGGCGACGAGGAAAGATTTCACAGCATCCTTGTGCACAAGTGAGAAGATGAGATTTCCTGTTCGACCACACACTTATTTGGACCCGTATGAAAGCACCAGTACTGCCTGTTTTGTTTTCTGACCTTCTGACGATCAACAAGGTTTTTCTTACATAGATCCTCCAGAAGATTTACAGTTGAAGAGTAACCCGACCTTCTCCATTGTCGTCGGCACTGAGGACGATCATCACATACTTAATCAAACCTATGACCGTGAGGGTCCAGAAAATCAGAGACACCGCTCCAACAATGTCGTTCGTGCTGTGAGGAGGAATTTCAAACGTGTTCGAAAACACGTAGAGAGGCGAAGTTCCCATGTCACCGTATATAACCCCGAGACTCTGATACGCAAGTTTTAGCACGTCTCTACCAGAAGGTCCAGCCTGCAATGTCACACAAGCCCGCCACCCCGAATGTCAATCTTGATTAAAGACAGGTCATACATTCATATCGACTAAACGCACGCAATTCTTGCCCTCCACTAGACCGTCAAATTCACGTGTCCTCAAAATCATTCTGATCCCAACCAACGTCGAAACCTCATAAGCCTGATTGATAGTACACCCAAGACTCGAGAACACGCCAAGAGTATGCTCCACGTTCGGTGCTGACCTTTTGGAACTGACTCGACACAGCGTCGGCAGTGCCCTCCCCTTCAGGCTGATCATCCTCCGAAGCGGAAGTAGTGCCTCTCGGCGGGGAAGAACTCTCCATGGCTGAGCAGAAATTCTTTTCAATGAGCCCGTCTCCGCTGCCAGGATCATCCCGTGCGCCAAATCCAAATCCACATGCTGTGAAAATTCACCAAAGTCACCGGCACCAAAGATTCGACGCCCTCGACAGCGACCAAAACCATCTCACAAAGTGCGTCGAAATTACCTCAACTGTCACCACAAAGCCATGAATTGTCAGTTAAAATCTGACCATATCTCACTCAAATTCTCGCAAGGGGTGCAGCATTCGTGGTGGCCAAACCGAGGCTCCAACCAACTTCGGATCCGGCACGAGCGCGATTCATGCTCGCCGCTGTCAAATCCGCAGCCCTAAGCACTTTATATAGCGCGCCATGAGACAAAACGCAGAGATGTTGGCGCTTTCTTGTCCGAGCGCAGGCACGTTCTCTGCAGCGTTGAAGCTCTGCAAGGAACAAGGTTCAGAACGCCGTTCAGTTGCTTCGCCTTAATTGCGCTCTGGGTTAATGAGTGTTTTAGCTCTCTTTAATCAAATTTTGTGGGGTTCCCCTGGGTTATCTTATGAGGAGATTTACGAGTCAATCTTAGATTGGAGACGGCTTACAACATACCTATTCTGTTCTACGAGTTGTTTAACAATGAGAACATCCTCTGCCTTTGGATAGAGTTATGAGCCATATATTCCAGATCACTTATTTTCTTTTCTGGCTTTCTAAACCCCTACGATGGAAAAACTTCCCGAAAATATTTTGTTCAGGCTGTTGAGATGCCTCTATCTTCATGTTTAGAACCCATTTGAAACTATTGTATCGATATGCAAGAGATATGTAATGAGACACAACCTAAAGACCGATCACGTAGAGAATAAAGAATTATGATGTCGTAATATACTCCAGCAATCAAGTAATTTATGATATTGTTTCATACGAATAAACTAGTAATGTTTATTGCTGAACATATTTTATACAGTGTTCGCTAGGTTGGAAGTTGCCGTTCATGAATAACAACAAAGTACCAAAGTTTATGAAGTGTCGAAGAACGAACTTGCTGGCAAATAATATCAACGGAATTTGCTCATTTGGATTACTATCGGATGTTAGCACCGAGCTTATTGAAAATTGAACCGAATTCATTTCTAACATATGCAATGTTTAAGCAAGTCCTACAATGAATCAACTAGTATCTTCAACTATATACATGTATCTCTGTTCATTTTTATATCTACTCGGTTATTTTTCATTTCAAACCAATTTTTTGAAATCCATATTTGATAAAACTAAAGTATTTATCCTACAATGAAGATGTTGTACATTTTCATACATGATGCAATACACGATGATCAAGACTCCTTAATGTAGGCGGTCAAAGATCGCGTACCCTAAATTACTTGAACTATGCTACTCTTGACTTATGAGTTGGAGTTATGTTATTATTGAAAGTTTATTGGAGTTATTATTGAAAGTAATGGGAGATGTTCTATGGCTTCTAACCATGCAAGTGATTCCGTCAAGTCCAATAATGTGCGGCTTGGTTTGACACTATGATCTCGGTTTGGTCAATGGTCTACAATTCCAATTTTGCATTGTCTTTGGCCACAAGAAACGGAGTAAAACACAAACCTTTGATTGATATACATGGATGATGTCATCCTTTTCATTACGAAAATATCAAAAATCACGGTCAGCATTCTCCGAACTGGGCTATGTCCAACCAATTTCATTCAGCTCATAATCAATATTCTTTCTATGACGATGTATCAATTGTGTTTAAAAATCTTATTCAGTCGCACTTCTTGTTTTCATCTCTTGGCGCTAAATATGCGTAATGTGGGTTGGCTTGGTTTACTTAGTGTTCTAATAACCATCCTATTGGTTGTCGTTGGCTCACCTCTAGCTGTTGCCAATTTAGTACATAATAATTTAATAATAGACAATTTTACATAGCCATTTGTGTAACTTAGGCATTGATCCGCTCTGTCCTAGAAGGCCCTAGTCCTTAGGCGGGGAGCCCGCCCTGAAAGTTGTAGTTATGGATTTCACCGAGCCAGGCTCGGGAGTCGAGTAGGCCACGCCTCAAATTGTGTTGGGCATGAAGAAATATATATATATATATATATATATATACTTACTTTTGGATGAGATGGTTGACGACATGATGTTTGACATGATTTATGTATTCGGCAGCAATCCAAATCATGATGCGAAAAAGCCCGCATTTGACAATAAATTTTAACGCAATGTTGTAATTTGCCGACGTGATCAAAAGATAACATTGCCAGAAGAAAGAGCACTATCATTATTTCAGTGCATGAAGGAGCAAGAGTATGATGAGAACTACGTCGATTATGCTTATTTGATTACTATCTTGAAGTTAAAAACCATTGTGTCATAGTTGGCGATACGATACGTGACACTTCATTTTGGTTGGTAATCAAAATACTGTGTTTCATATGGAAAGTTCTGCACAATACTCTATTGCAATTTTGCTATTGCAATGACATTGCTAAGTTCATCAGTGTTGTGTGTGCTATCAACCTGAAACGCATGGCTTGTTATATGTGTCATGCATGGGGTTTTCCTATTACTATTGCAATGCATCAAAACTCCTCATATTTCAATTTGCGCTTTCGTGTCTTTTTGTCGAGCTTTCATAAAACTATTAATTTGCATGCTCTTAATGTTTGAGTGGCTACCATCAATGTCATGTACTAGATGATTGTATCTTTCTTGGGTTTTCTTTACTATTTTTTTTAATCTTTCGATCTATTTTTTTTAAAGAGCCTGCAATATGAATGGCCACTTTGCTGGTGTAGTCACTTGACCCATCAATGCGATGCTCAAAAAATGTACTCTAGTTTGGGTTTGATGTGAGTCGCATCAATTAAACCTCATCATTAAACACATCATGAACAATATCGTGAAAGAATGATTCTTTGTTGTTATGATCAGATTCATAATCCACTTGATGTAACAACAGAATGTAATTGCGGATATGCAAACAATGTGACATCAAGTAGTATATTGCTAGCTATCTATTAAAAAGATCATTAAGTGATTCAAGATTCATCGGCCTAAGTTGTTTGCTCATATTGAGTCTTAAAAATGAATCTTGATTTCATCTTGTTTATGATGGATTTTTTTCTTGCTAAGCATCACTTCAACTTGGCAAAGTGTCCGCCTTTTGCAATGCAAAAAACAATGCGCTTGTGAATCAATCTACTTTTTCACATGTGATAGCGCATGAGTTTGTCAAACTGTCGGCTGCCAAATTTATTTGCAAGATCTATTATGAGCATTCAAGGATGATTAGAGTTTAATTGAACAAAAAATTCTAAACCTAATGAAGTTCTCTAGGGTCTTGGCCATTCTTTTCTTGGAGTTAAATTTTGTTGATTTGCAATGAGAAAAGTACAACTTTCGCAAGAGTATGTCAAATTTTTTAGTTTGAAGTGTGAGTTGCAGTTGAAACAGTTGCAGTTTATTGTAGAATTCAAACACTAATTTGAATAAAATTCCCACTTACACACCGTCTAAACTAAATCTTTCTAGTTTCACTGAATTAAACTAATTTAGACGGCCAACTAAACTAAGTAGTCCTGATGATATTATATCACAATCATGTAAGATTCTTGTTACTACATATCATACAAAGATTGCAACACAAATCATTGAGTTTAATAAAAATTCAATGACTTTAGATTTGCACATAGTTCAAGTGTGGTGTAAATGATGTATGTATGATGTCTTACAAAAATATTTTCATTTTGTGATTTCGAATGCAACACATATAACTATGTCCAAAAAATTGTGATTTTATTTAAATTTACAAAGATTAAACTATATGTAAAGTTAACTCGCATCTTGTTAATCGTAGTTAAACTAATCGTAATTAGTATTGGCTCTAGTTAGGATCTGAGATACTTGAATCTAGACGGAGCATGTTTGAGTTAAGTCTCAGATGTACACTTACATAGATGATGGAGAGTTGATCTATATATGTCTTATGTAACATTCTCGCTTTAGTGAAGCTTTTATTTTGGTTGCGGACGTAGACTCATGTGAAAGTGAATCACATGTGATTTTTCTTTGGTAATTTTCGGTGTGAAATTCTCATACACAATTCTTCCCAAGACCAATTTTTTGGATATTTTAGATCAAATTTTTTTATAGTTTTTTCATTGCTTATGCATTGAATATTAATTTTATGTGATATTGAAAGAATCAACTTTAAAAACCAAGAATTATAGATCTGTATTTCTAAATTACTTTCTAAATTATTTTATAAAAAAAAATCTTGATATCATAAAACATATGATTATTTCACTTTCACTTGGTTTAAACATGTATTATTTTCTTTGAATATTTAATAATTATATCCGTAATTAAGTAATTAAATTAATAAAAATTTAATATTTTTTTATGGACTTTCATGGTTTAGACACATATTTTTACAAAATTCTGAGTAAAAAAGAGAAGTTAAAAAAGATTAAATTGAAGTATATAACATTCCTTTATCTTGAAATTCTAACATTAATATATGCTAACAGATATATGTTTTACATTTTTTTGTTAGCATATGATTTATAAGACATGAAAAAAAAATTATTATTTTAAAAATTTTAATATCAAAATTTGACATTTTATAATATTGTATGAAATATTGTTGTTGTAAAATTTATATACTTGTAAGTGTAATCATATTTTTGGAACAAAAGTTTCAATGGTGAAATTAAGACAAGAGTTTGATATAACCTTTTAAATATTAGTTAAATACAAATCTGATACATTAAAAATTAAATGAACTATGGGGCTTGCGGAAGCTCTTTGTGTTTCATATTAGTATTTTAAGTATAAAGATTTTCTGTTATGTGTACATAAGAAGATGAACTATGTAATATTGATGATTATGCTAAACGATAATTCCGATTCATCAACCAAAGAATATGCAATGTTTACATATGCACATCAAACATTTTCAAATCTCTTTGATCATTCATAATAAATTGGACATTATAAAAAGAAAGATTGAATTGTAAATCATGTTATTATATGTGATTTGAAAATAGAAATGTAAATGATGTTCACTCAAAAAGTTGTTGAGATTGCAGACTGGAAATTGTATGTTTATTATGATACATTGAACGGATTTAAAAATAAAAGTCTCACATTTTAAATAATATAAACCTTGAAGTTTCTAAAGTTCAAATTCTTTTGCAAAAGAAAAAATATTTTCTGGGGGGTAGGAGGTCTTATAGCTCAACACTAAGAGCATATCCATGTAGTAGGTAAAGGCAGTTGAGAAAAATAAAAATGATTCACATTTATTTACATGTCATTGAGGTTTTATCGAGTTTTAAAATAACAGATCGAGCAGAGATTTGACCATTTCTCGTTTAGTCCCACTAGTCGATCCTTATCTCAGGCTCGGCGCCTCAACAAATGGTCCGCATGCTCCACACGAGCGGAAATAACTTAACTTCGTAACTTGTATTTTCTTCACCGTAGACTTACGAGCGAACGAATTGACGGCTGGACACGCAAGGACTTAAACCTCCCGAAAGTAAAGTGCCCTTTCCACGAGACTGGTATCTTCGCGTACCAGAAACAGAAGAATTGGGAGAGAAGCAAGGAACCAAGCAAGGAACCCAGCAGCTCTTCACGAACACGACGTCGGAGACATCGACGGTTTCATCCGCCGTCCGGAAACCAGGTCACGGCAACACCTGGACACGAATCACGGCCCCCGACGCCAACGTGGTCGCCCGCTCGTCCGTCTCACTCCGTCGCCCGCAGCCGAAATTAAGTCGAAGTTACCCTTGACTTTTTCATCCGGTTCTAACACGTACGCAGGCGGACAAAGACCAGTCGCGGCCGCGACACGACGACGCTCAGGCCCGACCCAGCCCTCCGTCGCGATGACTGGGTATGACAGATGGACGGCCGTGGGAACATACCAATTAAATTATATTACATTAGATTACAGAAGGGCGCTGGACCTCGTAATAATGTAGAGTTGTGCCCTTATTGTAAATTTTGCTAGAAACAAACAAACCCTAACAGAAGGAAGGAAGGAAGGGGAGGAAGAGTTGATTGGGTTCGACGTTTCGGAGGTGTTTCGGGGTCGAGGTGGATCGATTGATTCATTGATTGATTGATGTATATCTATCGAGAGATCGGTGGGTCGTCGGTCGGTAGGTGTTTTGTCCACTGTAAGCACGTCTGTCGCTTTCTCCCTCCCCACTCTCTCGGTGGCCCTCCCTCTCGTCCTCCTGCCTTCCGGTTCATTCATTGATTCTTCTTTGTTTCTTTGTTTGGTTCTTTTCTTCCTTTCTTCTGCCTGGTCGGACTTGGCTTCCCTTTCACTTCAGTCCGTCTATTTTCACAGGCTCGCTCGCCCTGCGATTCGCACGCTCGCTCGCTCGCTCTCTCTAAATCTCTCTCACGCGCACTTTCTCACTCGCTTACTCACTCACGCGGTGCAGGATTACGGGCAGAACGGAAAGATAAATAAGGAAGAAGTGGAATTGGGTGTGAATTGGAAGGAGAGCGCGGGGAGAATTGGGGAAGAGGTCGTCGAGGGCGAGGGCGAGGAGCAGGAGGTGGTGGTGGACGAGGATTGATTGATTGATTGGGCGGGCGGGTGGTGGATTGAGTATTCGATTCGGGGAAGGAGGAGGGGAGGAAACGAGGGGAAGAGGGGGGAATTGAGTCTTCGATTGGAGCGAGAGGAGGGTGGAGCGAATTGACGGGCTGATTGATCGCTTGAGAGATCGAGGGGGGTCCTCGTGGAGTCCTCCAGGGGGAAGGGTGGTGGAGTGGCGAGGAGGGGGCAGTAATGGATGGAGTCGCGATGAGGGGAGGGCCGCAGCAGCAGGCAGAATCGGCAACTCCTTTTATTCCCACTCACTCTTGGTATCCCCCTTCCGTGTTGGGGCCGTCCGCGAGCGCCTCTCGTGTTTCCTCTCCCTCGACGACGAGTTCAGGCGGAACCCCGAATCCTCTCTCCAGGACCAGTGCAGCCAGCAGTGACTCGCAAAGGCCGCGCTCCCCCGGTTCTCAGTCGCAACGCTTGTCCTCCTCTGTCAGCAATGCACTTCCGGTCCTCAAAGATAAGAGGTACACTTCGAGTGGGGCCTGTGCATCCGAGATCCGAAGAATGTGCTTTGCCGTGTAGATTTGCCACAAATGAGGCTCCTCATCGACTCTCTCCAAGTTCAATTTGGGTATCTTGAAGGATTTCTGGGTGCTGTTCGTAGTTAACACCGACCCCAATTGGGTGTATAGACCTTTTAGGGTTCTTGTTGTGGAGCTCACAATCCCGGGGAAACAGGAAGGAGATGAATCAGTTCATTTGCTAAATCCGACGGTACTTTTTGTGCCCAGCGGGTACTTCTTGTCATCGTTTCCAACTAATTATGAACACGATCTTGATTTCGTTTTTGGGTACAGTGCCGAAGAACTCCGTGGATTACTTATGGACAAGGACTTGTACAATGCATTACTACATTCACTTGATCAAGTTCGACATTTAGACACGGTAGGTGTGCAGATAAATTGTTGGTCCCTCTTCAAATTATTTCGAAGTATGCACTGTGAACTTGCCGTAGTTTGGCATGGAATGCTCTTGATACACATCCAATACTGACCGATCTGTCTAGTCCAAGAAACCTCTTTGTTTGAGGATTTTTCGAACCTGTTGCTCATGATGTTGTGTTTACCAAGTCTTAATTAGAACATTATTGTTTGATGATCTTGTGCAGCTCCGCGATGACTTGAGAAAAGGCAACATTGACCTTGCACGTAAGTTGTTAGCACTGGACGGCCATAAATATCTCCTTTACGCAGTTGTTTGCACAACAGATATACAACAACGGAGTAGGCCGTCGTTGAAGTTGTCTTTTTTATCTTTGTATGGGGAACGTACTGTCTACATCCATTGAAAGGTTACGTTGACTCGCCGGATAGCAAAGTTATTTAGTTTAGTTCCATCAGTGGAGGATCAGACACAATCGTTGACTCCAACCGGAAAGGGAATCAACTTGGTTCCAACCGTAAGCGTTGTCGGATTGGAATGATGGATTTGTACGATCGCAGATGGATGTGCTGTGAAGCTGAATCATAGCCTTCTTACCTGAAGTCTTCTAGCATCAAAGCTTGAGATGTGATGCTAGAGGAGTTGAAGGTGAACATTGTGAATCGGTATATAACTCTATGATTCACATCGGTGACATTCTGGAATGCAAGCTCTTGCTACAAAAATTCTGAAAGTTGTAGTTGTTGCTTGCAGGACATAATTTGGGAAAGGAGGCAGAGATCGCAGAGCTCAGAAATCAGGTAATTTTTTATGTTTTGAGCCGTCGTTATATTCAGCTTGTAAGACAGACAGTGAGGCAGACAGACAGTGTTTGCCCTCAGGAAGGCAACAGTCTGGAGGGAGGATGACGTAGGAAACTTACGTAAGAATTGTGGATTAGCTGCCGTCTAATGCTTCTCGATGACGTGCTGCAGTGCATGATAATCAGAAATACCCAGCTCGCTGCTGCCAGGGAAAAGTTTGAGGAAGTGGAGAAACGTGAGAAAGAGGTTAACGCACGTTGTTCTCCTGCATCCCTCTTGGACCGGCTTGCGGGTGAGTTACTTCTGATTTTCTCTTTGTCCAAGTATATCGGTACGATAAATAATATCTGATAAGTTTTTTGAAAAATTTATCAGGAATTATTTATCAGGAGTGCCTTTTCTGTGTGTCTCTTCCATTACAAACGGTGTTCACGTTCTCTGCTTCGATCGAATTCTCTTTGACAAGGATTCTGAACTGGCCTTTAGATGACCTCTGCCCGCACTATGATGTGTAAATAAATGGTTAGGAAAAGCAAAGTGGATATGATAGCAGCTGGAGCCTAGGGAGACGACCCGAACTTGTGGGTCTGATCATTGTACTAATTAGCGCATGTTAATAACTGTCGCTTTTGGCTTTACAGATGCTGCTAATGAGGCTGATGAAGAATCTGAGACGATCCATCAGCAGCTTCTTTCAGGGGAGATAGAATTGGGAGAATTCATTTCGAAATATAGAAAAGAGCGAATTCTTTATCACAAGCGAACGCTTACACGGATGGCAGCTATGACATCGTTGACCACTCCTGGGTAGTATGTGCAACTGCGGTTTGCAAAAAATTGTACATTGATGATAAATGAACCAAAGTTTGTCTTTTGACCTCTCAGAAATTGTGCGTCTCGTAGAAGAAGACAAAACCTGTCACCAGACCTATGTACCCTCTCGTCAGTGTGGCTATGACTTAGGATTGGAAAGCACCATGATACCGTTGTAGAATGCTTTGTGTGATTTTAGTTGGGCCTTCAATTTTTTTGGTTCTGGACATTTTTGTTTGCAAGAGAAATTTAATGCATATATTTTCAAGTGAGAAAGTCATCATGACTCCTCACCTCAGCTTATCTTCCGTTGTGTGTACTGGTGTTGTACCAATGATCTCCACAATGGCTGGAGCAGTAATTGCGTCAACAACATCGTAATGAACAAGAAGGTATACAAAGTCGACCAAGACGTTTTTGTTTCATCGGCCTGATGTATTTGCTCGTCCTTGCTTCATGGATTTACCATGATTACCATGATCTCTTGCATTTAGTCCAAATGATTCCCTGTCTTGATTTGTGTTGTTCTCGACGGTCGTTGTAAATAGCTTAACGTTAATCGGGTCAAAGTAGTTAAGTTTTTAACATCGTCGTTCAATAGTTTCCGCACTCATAGAACCTCCTCAACGTCTTATTTAATGAGTTTGTCTGCGCTGTCTCGAAGTATAATGGAGTAATACTCAAATTTGCTCGTTTCCCGTGGTTATGAAGATTGACCATGAATCAAAAAATCGTCTATCATAAAACTACTTTTAGGGCGATTCATACTGACGCTTAAAAACCTGGTTAGATGCATTTACAAATTCAAGCTTCCAATGACTTGATAGTGTTATTGATTGGGCTGAAGATGGGATAGTTTCATAATACTTGCATTCATAGCTGTAAGTACCAGTATCACAAACAGTCTACTAGATGGGAAGTAGATTTGATAACCCTGGATCTCACTACCTTCGCGTCGTGATAGATTGTTCAGAATAAACCTACTGGACTAGACTGAAACTGTTGTTTGAAATACACACGTTTCATGATCATTGACGTCTCCTAACGTCTAATTGATCTCCTTCTGTGGCGATTCACGTTTCTTCTTTCTGCGCAATCTGACAAGTTCAAGGAAAATTTCATTAGTTATGAGCTCACGTCTTTTATTGATAGATTTTGCAGCTTGTTATGAGTTACTCAAATTGGATTTCGTAGTCTTACATGATTTGCTCGATTCGATGTCACGGAGGTTCGATGGAACGGTGAAATGTGGTTCTGGATCATCCTCGGTTTGATATCAAAAGTGACTTGTAGTTCTTCATCTCTATTAGGTTCGGGATGACTGTAGAGTGTGTTTTTTGATTGATATATGTCGTCTCTTTCCATAGATTGCTTTCTTAACCTTGGTCTAATTGTATGTTCGTCATTTTGTAATTTCCACTGTCACTTTGTACTCTGCTGTCATGGGTTAGCTTCCAAGGTTTCTGCGCTAGGGCGTATATTTCTGTTTTTTTTCCGTTGGTTTGTGCCATCCATCGCTCAGTCACCAAGATCGTTATGTCCCGCCTTTATGTGACTTCTTCGTCCTTTATTCCTAGCACGCTCCAGGGCTGAACGCAATACCAATAACAGTTACTATACTTGAATGTTTAGTCAGTGTGTTTCCATCACTTCGCTACGTGTTAATTATAGAACTCACCGTGCACAATATCATTGGGAAGAGTGAGAGTAATAGTCTTCGTTGATACCTCACCTTTGATGAATACCGGGGAGTCTTTGACGACCCTCTTAGATGAGTCGTCTCTCATTAAGAAATTTGGAAAGTCGAACTAGAAATCAACCGACCTCACAGTTTATGAAGTAAAAAGAAGTTGTAGCTATCGCCTTTCAGTACGCTGTTTCTGTCTAGAGAAGAGAAAAGTTTGAGATGAGGTGAGGTATTAAATTGTGCTTTTGTCGCGGTTAATAGTATAAGCTGCATTGTGAGGATGCTTCAAGACTTGACCTAACCGGGGACGGATGCTAGTGTTTCGCCAGATTACAAACCCTAAGATTCTGACTTCTCGTTTTTAACTGATAGTTCTTCATGCTCACACTATCTTGTGAGTTTTGAAGATAATCAATTTTATAGATTTGACGGTCAACAATGGCTTTTGTTTTAATAGGGAGTGGCTTTGTTCTGGGAGGGATCTTAGTTCTTTGGAAATGGACCCCTGAATTTGCAGGATATGTCTTTGTCATCTAAGTAACTGCATAGATGGTCAAATTCATACATCGTTTAAGGAGTTGGTCTGTTTCATGCATCTGTCATAGTAGTGGTTGGAATTCTCAAGTTGAAAGTTCCTCCCACCGCGACCACACTCGTTCTAGAAAGTACATCATCCTTTGAGATTTGATCAAAGGAAATCTTAATGTTGATGGGGATGAGTTCATCTGGAACCATTACCGCCAGTTGAGACCTGGTGGTCAGAACATGCAATGAAGCATTCGTGATAGGCAAGTGTACGCATGTCCAGAAAGCAGCAGACTTCTCGGGGTATCAGCCAACACTTCTGACAGTATCAGGTCAACATATGACCATGTGGCCCCACTCGAGTCGTGCGCGACCTCAGGAGTCAATTTCTTCTTAGAAGTTGGCACGTGACTGTCTGTTACATTCTGATATGTTCTAATCACTGTCCAGAGACTGGGCAAGCCAGCTACACTCACTTCCATCTGATTCTAGCATCTGCTATCGTAGCGATATTCCAGAGAAAAGAGATCTGACATTTCTATAATGCTCTGAAACTCTACAGGCGTCAGTGTCTTCCTCGCCATGGCCAGGATGACATCAGTCTGATCCAACTTGGGACGGTGTAATAAAAAACTAGAGACCAACTTGCATCGCTCGAGGCGGCTGGAAAAGACGTATCCAGACGGGCAAAATTTTTGAAAATCAGGTGCTCAGCATCTGAGACCTGACTAAAAAATGCTCCCTTGCCACAGCTCAATGTAGGAAGTTCGAACTCTTTGATCCGGAAATGGAAATAGTTTTCAACCAGCAATTGACGCGTCTCGGTTTCACCTCACTAACTGCGTCATTGCCCCAAGCGCAAAGAAGAAGGGAGATATCGGGAGCTACGTCTCTGTAGACCTCAGATCTCAAGTTGTGGGGCTGACGGAGCTGCCAAGTAACTTTTGGGGCGCGATGAGGTCCCACAAATTCGCCATCTAAGCACGTGGAGACTCGTCGATACGACTTTTGGTGACAACCCGGAAATGCGTCCACGTTCTTGCCCCAACAGAAACGCAGACCTTTCTGGACTTCTGACTGGGAAGGACAAGATGTATGCATGCCTCTACGGATGAGGTCCCACACTTCGGGACGCATCCAGAGGTTAGGCAAGACACGAATTCTATGTTTAATCCCTCAACCTGACGCTTTTAAATCTGACGGCTGATTATCATACGCTACTATTACCTTTCGTACACTGTGTATTCCTTACTCTCTTTACTCTCAAGCTGTCATTTCAAAGTGTGAACTTCTGTTGACTTTCTATACTGATTAGCAATAGTTTGACTACACTGTAAGAAGGAAATGTCCTTAAAAACTATTTCTTGAGAAGCAAATGATCTCTCACGCTCTGCTCAATCGGAAAAGATTCTTAGTGAACATTTCAGTAGAGAAGGCCAAGTAGATCAAATATGTATGTCTTCCTACTGGAGGCGTAGTAAGAAACTAAATAGAATTCAGGAAAATTCGGAAAATTGAATTATATTCAGTCATTTCACGGTTCTTCATTATATCATCGAATGTCTTCATTAATAGTTACTGTGTATATTTAAATTTCTCAGAAATAACGATCCATACAAGATCCACATCCGCTTTGTAGTAGCACATTGTTTTACAAAAGGGTGGGATCCTGATGATGGAATCTCTATGTGGTGGACATTTTTCCCTCAAAAACGATTGATATTTTATTGCATTCTACAATCTTCCAAACACTATGTTGATAGGTGAAGATTTTCTTATTCACGTTTATGGAAAAGAACCAACTCGAAAAGAATCTATTGAAACCAACAACATAGTGGCCATTATCTTGTTACAAAGCTCAATTTGTTACAATGTGAGACTGAAGCTTGGTGATTCATGACTTTCTGATGAAGAGTGAGGATGCGATTGTGATTCTCCTTGCATAGGGTTAACACAGAGTCGATGATGTCTAATGCAAAGATCAATTTGAATCACATTATTGATGAGCAAGTGTTGAGCTACATCGGAACAGATACTTATGCTACCTCTACTGCTTCTACTCGCTTTGTCATGTGTTAGAATAAATTAGATCCTAAAGTCTGAGAGTGCTAATATTACAGATGACTTGACAATTTTATCCGTGTCCAAAGGAGTGGACTCAACTTATCAATTATCCATTACATTACCGTTATAGCTTACAGTTGTAGATTACACTGCACTATATGTGCAAGTAATCTTACTAATTAAAACAGTTTTACTGACCACAAATCAACGATTTGAACATGGTATGGAAGTGTAAGTGTTTTCTTTGATCCTCAAATTAAGATTGCAAATTTCTTAACTTGATGACCTCAATATTTGATGTTTTTTCTCTCTCCCGTTCAAAACCATGGAATTCTCGAGGGAAGCGAAGGACATCGATCTAACACAAAAGCTGGTTGACATCGATCTAACACAAAAGCTGGTTGACATCGACAAATACACTACTAGGGTTGCGCGAATGCAAATCATCTTACGCGAGAAAAAATGTTATGCGGCAGTCAAACAAAGCATTGTTTTCCCAAAGTTACTATTTGCGCTTGAGGTTTATAATGGATTGACTGAGCACGCACTTAAAAATAGAATTATGATCAAGCAAGAACGAGAGTCTGCTAACAAAGAAGTTCAGGAGAAGATCGACATTGAACAACGTGATGACGCTGTTTACCACATTATGATGAACGTGTGTGAGCACATTGTTCATCATATCTCTGGCATGTTTAATCCTTCCTTGATGTGGTGTCATGTATTTTTGTATATATTAAATATAGCCATTGAGCTAGGGTTACTTTTCACGTAGGGTATAGAGTCGACAACGACTCGAAGAACGTCGGTTCTTCGAGTCAAGCTTGTAGCATTGGACGAGCGAGTGTATTCAAGCATCGACCTAGATTTTTGAGAGTGAGTTGGGTTCGACTTATGTACGTGTGACGGTTTTGTTGCCAATGGGGTAATCAAGACTGGCGTGTTTGTCAATGGTAAAAAACACGTTATTTCAGTTGTGATACATTTGAGTGTGTTCGCTCTCATGTCCTATGCGTGTGTATGTGAGTAACATGTCACTGATGTAAAATGTATGGCAATATATATTCGCACTACAGAAGCAAGATGGACGCTGCTCGCCGGATTCGAACTGAGAAGTTGCAGCAAACCACA